TTACGACATCGACTTAAAGCTTCCTCAGAATGGAATCACCGCACAAATCCGCGGGAAAAATCATCATGTCAACGTGTGAAGGGAAATTTCGCTGGGTAGCATGGGGGACACCCATGAACAAAGGATCCATGGCTGGCAACTGAAGACAAACAACAGCTTTATGGTAAAACAGTGTAAAACAATACACCGTGTCTAGTGTCTGTAGATAAGTGAAATAGAACCAACGCATATCTGTAAAGACCTAAGATTAGAATATCCAAGGAACAGAATAGTTCTCTGGGTCATAAATATATACGGATAATTATGAACTATTCTGAAAAACATGCACCTAAAAATTCAGGCAAAACGTTGTATGATATCACGTTTACAAGTTTACAACATTCACCATGGTCTACCGGTAAAAACGGATGTCGGGTGAAACGAGGGGAGTCCCCTTGTGCGACAGTATACTGTAGATCAAGTGTGATCAACCACTGGCCAGTAGAATCAGTAGAATGACCAGTTACCCTCTGGTAAACAAACATCATTGAAAATGGCCCATTTATAGTAGTTGATTTACCCATTAAAAATTGTGATGTTCAATAGCTATATGTTAAATTGCCAGAGGGCATATAATTGTCAAATATTGTCCAACAGCCCACTGGTCATAAGATGTCATAAGAGTGTATATATGGCCTCTGAGAATGCAGAGCCTCGAGAAGTGTGATGGCATAGGTCTAGGCTACTCACTTATTTACATGCTATAAATAAACAATACCTCCCAGTCGCTTACTGTTTAAACAAAAAACAACATCTGTTTCGAAAAGCCCACCTGGGTCGGCCAAACAGCTTCTGTGGGCAAGATCTAGAATTAGTTGGTTGCTGATTTTGCTGGTTGCAATTGGAACGCCCAATCTTCCCCATTCTTGAGTTGCGATCTTTAACGAAGAACACATGGAACCCAATTTGGGCTGCAAGCGGGGTACAATCAGATTCCTACAGTAACCCATTTGTACCCCTCCCAGAGAGACTCAACAACTCGACAGCCAAACTTGCTGAAAATGAAGGATCATCCATAGGAGTTCCCCAAGAACAGATAGAGTCATATGATTCACGACTGTCTTCGTTTCACAAGAATCCGGTCTTCCAAGGGGGATGACCTATTTACAATGCACAAGTTGTACCCCAAACATCGGGCTTAAGTTGCACCTCATAAGACGATGATATCCAATAAACCACCAACCATACAGCGTGGTGCCCCGCCGAGTTATGTGTATTGGTATGTATTCGTTTACAACCTCCATTAAGTATATGATGATATATGATACATGTATAGGGGGTCACAGATTGATGGCCCCGGTAAAAGTTGATTCGTATGCCACCAATACGGAAAAACAACACTCAAAACGAACCGTTTTTTTTACATGTTTTTTTTTGCACCACTAAGATGGCAAACAGGGGTCTGTGACACGTATTGGAGTCATGTTCACCAACATCTAAGCCAATAGACTGGGCACCGCCAATCACATTGGATATATCTGGCTGAATCCCTATGATTCACGAACCTGATGATTCCCCGAATTTCATTCCAGTGACGTGACGACGCGAGGATCTCCTGAAAAAATCTCCATTATAGCATCCCATAGGGTAAACTGATATAGAGATGTGGAAAAAACCTCCGTTTGTAGATCCTTCTCGGGAAATCAAGGGTTTTCCAAATCTACGTAAACGTTTACCCTATCGTAGATCCCCTTCAATGTTTGTTGAAGTTTGTTGATCTAGATGTTACTTACATTATATATATATGCGTATATATATAATCCTGTAAATACATGCATATACCATTGATATCTGATCCCGTTGACGGCCCTTTAAAGAAACCCCCATTGAAACCGTTGATCTCCGGCCATGTTGCAATGTGGACAGAGCTCCGACGACCTCAGAGTTCGCTTCAGCTCCTGCCGCAAAAAATGGTGGATTTCAGCAGCTGAAACAGAGTTTTCTCTGATTTTGAAAAGTTGGCAACTACAAAAAATGTTCATCGCATGAGACTTGACGTGTGCAATGTACATCAGGTTTTACCAAAAACAAAGGTGTACAGATGTGTACAGTGTACAGCCAAACAGATTACAGAGATTGCATTTGCGAGAATGTACAATAGCAGTGTTTCAAGCTATTTTGGACTGATTCTGCACTTGTGCTCCCTTGTGCGAGGCAGCCAAGGATAATTCCTGTGCTAAATGTCAATCTTAGACAGTGGATTTGTTTAAGGGATTAACTATATGTCTTGTGGTTTCCGGTTAAGATTCTCCCTTAAACCAATCCACTGAAATGTACGAACCAAACCAATGTAATTTGACATGTGTTGTTGCACGAACCTTGATCACCTTGATTGCCTTAAATTGGGGTGTTAAGTCTCGTCGAGAGTATCTGGAATATGAAAAAAAAACATATTCCAGCCACCCTGACGGTCACTTGCAATTGGCCCAACATTCACCAGTTGGTTTACTGACATGATGTCCAATCATGCCCCTCAAGCATCATCAAACATGAGCATCATGACACGATCAACATCATGAAACAATCAACATCAATTTATCGATGTACCCATTAGTTTGTGACACATCCCTGTCAACCAAACACCCTGCAACTCAGCACGAAACTTCTGCTTGACTCCTTCCGGGCTTCTTTCTGGCGTTGGCTCTTGAGCCCCATGATGCAGCTTCAAAACAGCAAGTGAACTGCTGGGTGCCAGTTGGGCTTTTGATGAGGGTTTTTGGGTCCAAGTTGGGCACAGCAAAAATAGCAATCGTTGGTGCCAAAGATATCTGACGCCACCACAACATACCACTGGAAGTTGAGGGGTCTGACATCACCAGAGGAGCAATGAAAGGCCCACATGTGGGGTTTGATCCTGGACTGCCTTTGCTTGCTTGCGGAAAATCTTTCTAATTTATACTGATATGATATATAGGCTGTATAGATCCAGACAGTATTTGAAATTACAGAAGACCCAAAGCAAATCCAATGGGATTTTGTAGATGGCACATGGCTTCAGGCTTTCTCTAAGTATGCCTTGCTACAGAACTGCAATTGCAACTGACCAAGAAAATTGCAAGGCAGCGGGCAGGACAAATATATCAAAATTGCGCTGGTTGGTGAATGAACCATCCTTCTAAGAATAAACATTAAATACCCCATGGTAAAATCCATGGAAAACGGCCCATTTATAGATGACATATACACATTAAAAACGGCGATTTCCAGTTCGCAAAGGATTAACTTACCAGAGCATACACGTGGCATATGCGAGTTGCGGCACTTTTGATCATGGAATTCGGCCAGATCGTGATCAGGGTGGATGCTGACCCTAAGTCATCTAGGGAAAAAAAAGGGTAGCGGAAACCACATGGTGATGAGACATACCAGCATTATTATCCGATTATTAGACATGAAACCACTGGTTGGTGGTTTCAACCCCTCTGAAAAATATGAAAGTCAATGGGAAACGATTATTACCCCATTATTAGCTGGTTGGTGGTTTCAATCCCTCTGAAAAATATGAAAGTCAGTTGGGAAGATTATTCCCATATATGAAATGGACAATAAAAGTCATGTTTGAAACCACCAACCAGTTAGACATTTAAAACAGCAATGATATTCTCCCAGTATCAGCATGATCCCATTAGTAACTTAACATAGACTCTGGCAGATACTGTAGGGGTCGGAAGATTAGTTTCCACTTACAATTGGCTATGTTCAGGGTCCAACTCTTAATCCACCATAGGGTAATCATTTTTGACACAGTCGCCGATCATGGATGATATCATGGTCATTTTTTCTCAGCTGCCACCGTTCCTGTGGTGTGTCCAATTAATGTTAGGAGGTTGTGATATTTTCGCTTGGTCTAGCTGAAGCTTGGGGACATACATTACCCTCCTGTAAACATACAAAACAATGTGGCAAAGCCACCATCTGTAGATCAGATGTCAAAGGGAAACGAGGTGTTTTCATGTGTTTTCCACATCCATGTTAGTTTACAGGCGGGTACATTGGTTACATGTCACTACTGCCCCCCCAAAAAATGGTCTTGAAGCTGCCAGCCACCAATAATCAGTGGGTCCCTGCATCTTATTATTAATGCGGTCCTCCCCTTCCAAAGTTTTGACCACCTACTGATACCCAGATTGCCGCAGATTGCCTGTTAATTTCCATCCCTAAAGCGCTTGGATATCCAATCATGATCCCATTATTAGACAGATCAGCATTATATCAGCATTACTATCCACTCATTATCTAATATGTGTCCAATAGTTATTCCATTAAAGTCCCGATATCAAAGGGCCTACGTGCCACCAAATTAGTAGGACCCTATTGAGGTTTATCACTATCCTCAATATACAGATTGGGTCGTATAGCCAAAGTATCTAACAACCAATCAAAAAGTATGGTAAGTATTTATCACTATTATCAACTATTATCACCTAGTATCAACTTACATCAACTAATATAGTAAATTATACTTACTCTGTCATTTGTTACCAACTATAGGTATATAAATATCACATTATAGTTACCAACCATATAGCAAATACTATAGCATGCTATTCTAAATCGTTATTAATTTCAAACAGTTATCGACTATTCCCAACTAGTATCACCTACTATGATCATAACTATTACGCATGGGTTATCAATCATTTATCCACTCTTACCATTTAAATTTTCAACTAGTATCACCTATGATTCCCACTATACTGTGGTTGAAAATCATATTTTTCCATATTACCATAAACCACCACAAATCACCTATTACCACCTATGATTATCATTACAAAATATCATAAATCAAGACAAATCATATATGGTAAATGATATTTTGTAAATTATATATGGAAGTATGATTTACCATATGATTATCATAGCCACAAATATATTATCATAAATCATACTTCCCTGGTGTTTTTCCATGGCTCCACTACTCTTCGAACACCAGGCTCTCGTCAGATCCAGGTCCCGACCGGAGCCACTGGAGCCGGCACCGGCGCTTGCCGAGGTGGCGGAGCGAAGGCGAACATGTCCACGTTGGCCCTGGCAGCGGTGAAGCCCCCGGCGACGGAAAATTCGCCATGGAAGCCATGGATGAAGCCATGGCCCTGTTGAGCTCGATGATTTACCTGCTGATAGTGATGGAATTTTGAGTGATTGAATTACCCTCTGGTAAACTAACATAGCTATTGAAAATGGTGATTTATAGTGGATTTTCCCATTGAAAATGGTGATTTTCCAATAGTTATGTTAGTTTACTGAAGGGTAACATACTTAAGTATCAAACAATATGGCTAGTTTCGTCAAAACCCTGGTGCCCCCTGCCCCAGATGGTACTGCTTTGTTTTTTGGCTGGTTTATGGGTGTGTATTCCACTAAATATGGTAATGATAGGTTTTGACCCATCCTCATTATATGGGTATAGATCAAAATTGGGTACCCCAATGGGCTTAAATTTTGATCCATCCCCATATGGACAATGTCATAAAACTGGGCATGTTTGGAGCCAGGTGACAACATGTGGAGCCTTAAAAAATGTGGACGTTTTTTTCCTCAACCATTTTTTTGGAACAGGACAGAAATTCCGGATGGGGTTTCTGTAGAATCAAGATAGAATCGATGCACAGATGGTGTAGATCATTTTCCTGATGTCTATCTGAGTTTGCTGGAGAGTAAGAATCAGATTTCTATGGGGAATTTATGGTGAATACTGTTGGATAATGCTAGGACATTCATGGATGGAAAACAAGGATAAGGATGGGAGAATTATGGTATAATGATGATGGAATCATAATGGGAATATTGTATAGTAAAACGATGTAATACATAGTATCAAACTGGCAGATGTGTTTTGCAACAAACATGGGGGTTTATGGGAAGAGTGACACAACCATTGGATCTAGTGGGTCTTTGGCGTAAATGGGAATCATCCCTTCCCAATACCAACCGTCGGAAATCCTTGTTTGTTAAGCATTGGATCTTCATAATCTTCATAGATTGGGGACCCTTGTGGTATTATTGCTAGGGGCTGGGATAATATATTACACGGGGATGGAGCAAACCAACCACTGGATTGTGGGTTTTCAACTGACATTGCAATGACCCATGCTTTGTGACACCCATCCGCGCGCAGCACGTGCCAGGGTGACAGAATGTCGTTGTCCTAAGCAGGGGGGTAACAGTTATGTGAAGAACAAAATTTCGGAAACCAGGGTTGCATAGGTATATCATCATCTATAATTAATAGGTAAATCCAATATGGGGGGCTAGTTTGGTGAAGAACACAAATTTGGAAACCAAAGATCAGGGCTTTGCTCAACAGCTGGCGACATGGCTGTCATACTTCTGGGTGCCTGAGCACGTGCTAGTCTTAATCTTATCTAGTAAAGTAGTTTAAAGTATACACTATCAAAATCTATATAATATATCATATATATATATATATCATATCATATATCATGCGATTATCGCCGCTGATAAACCCAGGACATGACAAATAAAAGGTCTCCGCGGCCGACTCAACGGCTGAGGGCCCAACGGTGTCATCAAACCTGTGCAGCTGCGGGTGATGGGGTAAACCAAAGGATGGAGGGCACCCCGATTTTCAGACCTGTGTTTGGGGTTTCTAAAGACAATTAAACAATATTAGACATATATGTTAGCTGAATCGTAACACACTCTGCAAAACCGTATTCATATACCTATTTCAATGGTTTCTACCAGATCGGGCCATTCAGATCCCACAACATCAAAGCACAGAGCTACTGAACTTCAAAGAAAAGTCACCAGTACCAATGCCACGAACAATCCCTGAGATGTTTTGTATGACATTGGATATGATTACTCCTATTTGGGTCTATTTGGATCTATTTGGTGGTTTCTTAAACATGGTGGTACCCCAAATCATCCAAGTCATGGATGACCATGACTTAGTATTGAAACCTGCGGTGACGACTGGGGATCCCCCAATGGTTGCAGCCAATGGATAGAACGATCCCCTGCCTGGGGGTTCCCCTATATCAGACAAACCCAAATTACAATGATTAAGATTATTAAGCTCAGTTTTAATTGTTGTTTTTTATCATCAACTGTGCAACTGATAGGGGCCGATCATCGTACCTTTTTGGCTCCTTGCAAGGCTTGTGACTGGACAACTTTGGCCGGCGAATCGTTCCAGGATGCCTGGACCGATCCATCTTCAAGGATTCCGCTAGGATCAGCTTGCCAAACAGAATGCCTTGTCTGCTGATGGCGTACCTGGTAAGATTCGCTACTCCGCACTGAGCGACAAATACATTGCAAATACCTTCTGCTTCTTTCACAATGAGAAAAAGAAGCCGAGCCCGGCAACAAGGCAGCGATACACACAGAAATGACAACTCACACTCGCAAGCTTGCCACTTGGGGCTAATCTAGGGCCACGTCAAACATAGCGAGCCCTGCGCATTTCATTCATTGCAAAATGCTGCGGGCGGCGATGATGGTTTTCTTGGCCTCTCCAAAGAAAGCCTCCTCCTCGGTCAATTTCTGCTCCTCTAAGCATAGACAATAACCAGTGTTGGAGGACAAATGTGTCGGGCCTTCCCGTCCCCCATCAAAAGGAGCCGCACTGAGCGACAAATACATTGCAAATACCTTCTGCTTCTTTCACAATGAGAAAAAGAAGCCGAGCCCGGCAACAAGGCAGCGATACACACAGAAATGACAACTCACACTCGCAAGCTTGCCACTTGGGGCTCAAACATAGCGAGCCCTGCGCATTTCATTCATTGCAAAATGCTGCGGGCGGCGATGATGGTTTTCTTGGCCTCTCCAAAGAAAGCCTCCTCCTCGGTCAATTTCTGCTCCTCTAAGCATAGACAATAACCAGTGTTGGAGGGCAAATGTGTCGGGCCTTCCCGTCCCCCATCAAAAGGAGCCGCACTGAGCGACAAATACATTGCAAATACCTTCTGCTTCTTTCACAATGAGAAAAAGAAGCCGAGCCCGGCAACAAGGCAGCCATACACACAGAAATGACAACTCACACTCGCAAGCTTGCCACTTGGGGCTAATCTAGGGCCACGTCAAACATAGCGAGCCCTGCGCATTTCATTCATTGCAAAATGCTGCGGGCGGCGATGATGGTTTTCTTGGCCTCTCCAAAGAAAGCCTCCTGCTCGGTCAATTTCTGCTCCTCTAAGCATAGACAATAACCAGTGTTGGAGGGCAAATGTGTTGGGCCTTCCCGTCCCCCATCAAAAGGAGCCAGCACCACTACCCAGTGAGTGTCTCCTCAGGAAACACAGCCGATCTGCGGCGGAGGTAGCTGGTACGCTGCATTCTTCAATAGGATCAGCTTGCCCATTATCCCAGGTCATAACAAGATTGCAACGAATGCTCTAGCTGTTGTTTGATTCATGCTGCGGAAGAGCTATATTGATGCATAGACCAAACAACTTCGATATATTTCGATATAATTTGATATATTGATACTTGGGTTACATGGGTTACTAACGGTTACTTGGGTTACTTGGGTATAGATATGTATGGATCAATTCATTGAGTAGCACAATAGTGAATGTTTAGTGGTGAATATTAAGTTCTATTAAGTTACTAAATAAACACATATCTATATATCTATATATATTTATTTATTATTATTGCTATCAAAATCACATATTATTACTATTATATATATATATAGACTAATGAACATAAACATTCCAATCTCTGGTCGATCTGATAGCTGCACGCGCCTGCTGCTGGTGGCTTCCCTAAAAGCTTCCTCACCTGAAGCCACGTGGAAGGCTTTCCAACTGGGACGAACCAACGTTGGAAACATGTTGAAATATAAAGAATTATAATATATATATTATAATATGGACTTGAATAGATATGTTTAGTATATTGAACCCTCTTTTTGGTTTTGTTTAGATGGTTGAAACTCTTCAAGGCAGTTTCTTGCAAATTCTTGGAACGCGGCTTGTGATTTTGGGTTTGCCTCACAAAAAAAGGGACAAACTGGGTTTAAACCGCCATCTGAGATTAAAAAAAAATGGTTCTACTATTGACAGTTTTGATATGGAATGATTGACGTAGACGTCAGTTGCCACAATTTTGGATGGGGAGCAACGGAATTATACAATTGTTGAAATGATTGTAGCAAACAATCCCAAATCCCAAACATATATGCTGATAGCGTTTCCCAAATATTTCTATTTGCACATCATTTGGGATTCCAAATGCTGATCCTGCAGCCAGCGGTTCAATGTATACAGGCTGAACACACCACTGCTCACAATACATCCTGCATGTCGCATATTCCATCATATATTCCCATGTTTGGGTGTCAAGGCTGTAAATCCTACATATTCATGGCTGTGGGTTTGCGTCAAAACAGGGCTAGAATTCATGTGTTCATGAAAAATATAGGCTCTATTGGACCAAGATCCTTGAACAAACCCAAGCACTGCATATCCCCATAGTTCAGCTCCATTCGATATTCCCCATATCGGATTGTTGGTTCTACATCCTGTTATACATCCCATTTTGTGTTAGTTGAATCACCCATGGTTTTTGGATCGTCATGATTGTATATACACGTTTGATATCCCATAATCTATGTCCACAAAATGTTTATTTCCTACCACAATGTTTCAACAAACCTAAATAATACCTCAATTGGTCAAATCAGAAGAGTTGATGACAAAATCGCCATTATTCCCCTTGCAGTCTGCCAAAATCCTCAGATATCCCATTTAAATTCCAGAAGGATTCCATTCTTCCCCAGTATTCCAAACTATTTATTTCCCTTATTGCGAGTTGTATTCCGCAACCCAATGTCCCATCAAAATCGCGTGGATTTTGTTGGGTTGAATCCCCACGGACGGGTCAAGTTATGGATTTACCGACTTGGGGAACCACCATCCATACCCTCTGGTTATGTCAAAATAGCTATTGAAATGGCCCTTTTAATAGTTGATTTTCCCATTGAAAATGGTGATGTTCCATAGTTATGTAAACATTTACCAGAGGGTAAATCCCTATGACTTCGGGTACCATTCGGCTACTCCAGCTATGACTTGGGGAAAAAACCGGGTATACGACGTCCATGACAAACGCGCGCAGTCTGACTATTTGCCATGGTCGAAACACGGTTTCTTCGCTTGTCACAATATGTTTTTTTCAGAAAACTATAATGATACATTGGGATAGTTTTCTACTATAATGATTAGTCACTATAAATAATCACTATTAATCGCTGCCAATGACTATATCCCGTTCAATGGACTCGGAAAACCATCCCTCGTATCTAAATATAAATCAACTTTTGACCATGACTTATACGGCATATTCACACGCTGCTATCAATAATTTATCATCATTAACTCTTATTGATGATGTCATTGATTCCCATTAATTATCACTGTAGTTATCATTAATTACCCTCTGGTAAACTAACATAACTATGGAAAATCACCATTTTTAATGGGAAAACTCACTATAAATGGCCATTTTCAATAGCTATGTTAAATTACCAGAGGGTATCATTATTTGGGTGTGAGAATTTGAATTGGATCCCCCCAATTCATTGGATCATTGGATAGTTCATACTAAAGACATACTAAGAAATCTGTGCTTCAATGGCTTTTATGTTTCTTCACCCATGAGCCTAAAATGGAGGTTTCCGTCATGGGGGTCGCATTTTTCCTTCATATTCTGGAATGGTTTCCATGACATCAACCATCTATAAAACTTATATATCCCATAACATAACCATAATCCCATACTCCCATTATAATCCCATTATAATTCCATTATAATCCTATTAAAATCCCATTAAAATCCCATTAAAATCCCATTAAAAATCCCATTAAAAATCCCAGAAGCCCATTATACTGCTGTAGCCCATTGTAGCTCTGGAAACCCCCCATTCTTCCAGGCCACTGAGGTCAAAATCCTTGGGCATGGCCTTCTGCGTCATCTGAGATGGGCTGCGGACTTCGGCCCCGGCGAAGCAAGGAATGGAGCAATCGACTGGGAATCTCATGGGGATTTATGGTAAATCGATGGTCAATAGCCTTTTTTTTGTGATGATGATGGTTAATAGATGATCAACAACCATTTTTTTTTGTGATGATTTAATCACTATTAACCATCATTCATCAGTATTGCTGGTCAATAAAGATAATTAATGGTTAATCCTGATGATTTCAATCAACATCCTCGAGGCTTAATTAATAGAGCTTTACTTCGCAAAAGCGCCAGCCATGGAACTGATGACTGGAGATGAAATATCGAACTGGTTCATTGGTATGTTATATATATACATATGTCTACCCTTGGTTTTATTATAGAGATTTATATACAGTGCGTGTTCTCGGAACACCCATCTATTTTCCCACAATTACTGGTTGGTCATCATGGACTATGACCATCTCCAGCGGCAAAGAAAGGATATTACCTAAACTAATCATCAACCAAAAGAGCGTTTTGAATCATTATAACAGATAATACTAGTTCGGAAATCACGAACTAATCATGATGCTCTCTGTTTTGTTTGATTCAATCACTATTTGTGAAGATCAAATTGATTGAATCCCATAACATCCCCCATTTAAATCGGGTTTGGTCAGTTAACTATGGTTGGAACATGTTATAAATCCAATGAAATCCTCATTTTTTGATGGTTAAACCATGTTAAACCACCATTTTTTCCAAGGAAATCCCCAGTTTTCGCCCTGTTTCACAAAATCGGAGTCCCGGACCACTTCGGGCATGTCCACCCCTTGAGGCGCCTGATTGACGGTGGGGAAACATGGTGATACGATATCGAAACAGTGCTAATATAATGTAATAGTAGCAATATAATATAATAGTAATATTAGTAATAGTTATAGCAAATAGTAATATAGTGATAGTAATAGTTATAATAGTTATATTGATAGTAATAGTAATGATATTATTAGTAATGGTAATATGGTATTATAATAGCAATAGTAATAGTCAGGAAGTTGGGCAATCTTCCGAGTTACAAATTGCAGATGAAGTGTAAGATGTACATACTAATATAGATAATAATATGCTACTAGTGTTACGATGATATATCGTAGTACTAGTAAGAGTAAGAGCAATGGGAATAGTCGTATAGTAGAATAGTAATATAATGCATGATATGATATACATACGTGTGGTAATACTAACACAATAATAGTAAATGGTACATTGTGATAATATATGGTAATAATAGTGAGTGTGGCGACAATAATAGTAGTAATGATAATCATGTAGCCATAGTAACAAAACATTGTAACCAGTGTAATGATAATAATGATAGTCTAGTCATAGTATTCATGAGTTTTTTAAGGCTAGATATAAACAGTAACACATGTATATATATATGTATATATACATATCTATATATCTATATATATATATCGATATGTATATATATATATGTACATATCGATATATATATATACATCGATATGTTTATATATGCACATAGATTATAGATATACACCTGAACATTCCTCATGAAATATTTGCCTATAACTAGAGAAACAAAGGCATCACCTGCATGGGTCACCAGGCCTCATTCCTCGCACAATTTCGGATGTCAAAATGTCTTAAATGTCATATTGGTTAACAACATATGTTGGTAAAACAAGGCCATAAAGCACCTAGAATATATATGGTTAATATGGTTAATACATGATTAATCTATGGTTAATCTATGGTTAATCTATGGTGAATTGTGATTAGTGATGGTTAATAACGGTTAATAATGGTTAATGATTGTCAGTAATGGTTAGTAGTGGTGATTGATGGAATATACCCTCTGGTAAACTAACATGGCCATGGAACGGATCACCATGTTATTCATAAATTTTAATAGGTCAATTATATATCTGTAAGTGGGCGCTGTATATCAGAGTTACGTTAGTTTACTGGAGGGTATATACCCTCCGGTGTTAATGTAATTTGACACACAACAACTGACAATAGGAAATAGATCGGAATAGAACCAACTATAATTGGAAAAACCATAATGTACTGTATTTCTGCATTATATACCATTCCATAAGGATTAACAAGTATAGTATCATGTCATATCCAATCACTGTTTGGTGGTATACCTACAGTACCCCTCTGAAAAATATGGGTTCGTCAGTTGGGATGGTGACATTCCCAATATATGGAAAGTCATAAAATTCCATGGTTCCAAACCACCAACCAGCATATATGTATCACGTATATATCATATCCAATCATGTTATGTAATGGGATAGTATCCCCTTGCTGAGCTGCACTGCACAATTGCCGTTGGAATCAGGGAGTCACGGCGTGCGTGGATATTGACGGATTTCGGATGCCAGATTACCCGGCCTGGTAAACGTTTACATAGCTATGGAAAATCACGATTCGAATAGGTAAATCACCTATAAATGGTCCATTTTCTATAGCTATGAAAACGTTTACCAGAGGGTAAGACTTCCAAGAGATATCCCACTTTTATGCATTCATCACCATTATTGACCATTAATCACCATCAGTAATTAACCTTTACGATCACCACTATTACAATTAATACTGTCATCATGGGTATTTATTGCTTATATTCCCACGCATATCTATCCTAATCTAATCAAATCTAACCTAACCTTATCTATCTATCTATCTATCTACCTATCTACCTATCTAGCTATCTAGCTATCTAGCTATCTAGCTATCTAGCTATCTAGCTATCTAGCTATCTAGCTATCTATCTATCTATCTATCTATCAATCTATCTATCTATCTATCTATCTACAGTATCTATCTACAGTATCTATCTATCTATATCTATCTATATCTATCTATATCTATCTATATCTATCTATATCTATCTATATCTATCTATATCTATCTATATCTATCTATTTCTATCTATATCTATCTATATCTATCTACATCTATCTATATCTATCTATATCTATCTATATCTATCTATATCTATCTATATCTATCTATTATATCTATCTATCTATATCTATCTATATATCTAGATTTATGTGTATATATATACATCCCCATCTCCAGCTGCTTAAATACCTACACCGCACCGGAAGCAGGGCAGACAGCTCGTTGGCCACGCGACGTAGAGTGCGGGCCTGGGGGCGGCACCAACAGAGGTGGAGGTTTCCATGATCATATACGGTTAATATATGGTTAATATATGGTTAATATATGGTTAATATACGGTTAATATACGGTTAATATATGGTTAATGCATGGTTAATACATGGTTAATATATGGTTAATATATGGTTCATATACGGTTAATATATGGTTAATATATGGTTAATATATGGTTAATATACGGTTAATATACGGTTAATATATGGTTAATACATGGTTAATACATGGTTAATATATGGTTAATATATGGTTCATATACGGTTAATATATGGTTATATAATATATGGTTAATATACGGTTAATATATGATTAATATATGGTTAATACATGGTTAATAGTTTAACAATTGGTGATGGGCTTCCATAAATGGAGGGACGCTTAAAAATTGTGGTTTATAATGGTTTATAATGAAAAGTCCTGTTGAAATAACGATGGTTTTGGGGGTGCCACTATGACTTCGGAAACCTCCATGTAGATTTATATGTGTGGCTCTAAGGGGATTTCACCAACAAATGTAATTTTTCACCAACACGGAGATTTTTGCCAGACGCACGTGAATTTAAGGCTCAGACATGAGGAGTCAACATGATTGAATCCAAAACAATCAGCATTTAAGCAACCAAAGATAGGACATAGTTCGTAACCATTCATAGTTCACCGATTTCGTGCGACATTTAAAATTTTCCTCAGCTGCGATCTGAAGTATAGCCACTCATTTGTGGAATGTCATGGGGTACTTACCACCTTTCTATCTGAGATATATTATTATATGATAACATATTATAGTATATGTGTATTATATCATATTAATATAATATATATGTTATATAAAATTATATTAACATATGTATTGTATTATATCATGTTTTGCTATATTGTATTGTGTTATATCATATTTATTCTAATATCTTATATTAATAAGTGTACATATAATCATCATATTGACAACCTGCATTCTGCACATCCAAGATCATGGTGAATCATGGTCATTGGAAATCAGTCCGCTGGAAGATCAGCTATCAAAGGTACCCCTCATCCATCCTTACCCGGCCTGGTAAACTAACATAAGTATGGAAAATAACATTTTTTTCATTGGAAAAATCACTATTTCTATGGTGATTTTCCATAGTTATGTTCGTCATCATGAGAGGGTAATATCCATTCATATCTGGCTGGTGGTTGACCTACCCCTCTGAAAAATATGAGTCAAATGGGATGGTGACATTCCCAAGGCAGATATCCATTCATATCCATTGTAGCCCTTATCACTCCATCCATTTATCATACCCTCTGGTAAACTAACATAACTATGGAAAATCACCAGATTTAATGGGTAAATCCACTATAAATGGCCATTTTTAATAGCAAACTGTTAGTTTACCAGAGGGTACTAGTAGCTTGAATCTCCCCAACCTCAGGTTGGATAAAAATTGCCTTTCCACGTCTTTTGTGCCCCTCTGTGGCGCCGCGTCATGCCGCGTCACCGTGTCCGGTCGTAGGTGACATTGAACACGACCCAGGCGCAGTTCTGCCTGGCAACGTGCCATACCGAAAAATCACTGGATTGGTTGAAAGGAAAATCCAACAGGAAACCATTGGTTTAATCCCCAAGGGTTTAAATGTAGATATATTTATATATATAGGGATTTTCCCCATAATATATATATAGATAGATAGGGATTTCCAAGGAACAAATCCCTTAAACCAATCTAGTGACTATATAGACTAGAGCTGCTTAAACATCATAATGTGAATGGGAACATGTGTGATAATCAGGAACTAAACGGGAAATGAACCTAGGGACAATTAGGATGATTGTGGATCATATATTGATGAGTGCGGATTGATTGTGATTATGGTTTTCCACTATTTATATATATCATCTATTAATCAATGTTTTGTCCCGAATCAAATTTATGATTCTGGAATTGTACCGAATTATATATAGTGGAGTGTATGTATAATGTTATATGACGTCATGAAATAATTACATATTACATGTATACAGTATACATTATATATATGCAATACCTAATGATGTTGGATCATTCCAGATAGGAAAGCTATGATGATGGTTGCTTCTTGGGTATGTGTTCAGCATCCAAATCCCCTGCAGTACCATTGTGACGAACCAGCGGGATCCTCAAATGTTCCATGCCGCCAAGGCATTCCTGGACATATTATATTTCCCAATATTTGCTCCAAACATGATCCGAATGTAGGTTTTTAGAATGGTTAAAATATACCGTTATCCACACGGGGAGCATATTATGAATAGGTAGGATTTGTCTGGTGAATTAACTCCTGCTACCTTCATTCACATTGATTTACCATCAACATCAGGGACCACCAGTGCATGTCATCTTTCGACAACTTACAGTCGCGAAAAAAAACGACCGGGCCCTGCATGTGCAGGGCGGAGCGGCTCGTTCTTGCGGCAAAAAGTTGACGGGGCAGCCGGTAGTCGTCATGCTATTGGTGCTTACATAAAAAAGTGTTTTATCGTGGTTCAATATATAGTCGTTCATTAAGAGTTCGCTACATAATAGATGTTCATAATCATTAATAATAATGATAATGATTAATAATTGCTATTCATGGTGGATAGTGGCGATCATGATCCATTACAGTATATTTATTGTCCAATCAGAAAATCATCGGCTGTTTTTTTTTCCCCTGATGAGTAACAACTACAACTGAACCAGAAGTATAAATCGTGTGTTGAAAGCGCAGCGTCGATAATTTTACACCTGACGTCGGTTGAAACACTGCATATCACGACTCAACCCAGCAATCCTTTAGACACAAGACATTGAGACAGGCTCAGCGCTCTTACCCTTACAATCGCTCTTACAGGTTTTGTCCTTGTCGGGGTCCACATGATGTTTTTTATTGAAAACATGGAGAGTTTGCCTCGAGAAATACACATGAAAATAGATGGATAAATGGATTTTCAAAAACATCCCCCAAAGATAGAAATGTGCTTCCAAGATGTTATTTACAGGTTTGTCACTTTAAACTACATTTTTTTCGGGCAACAAAAATTGCGGTGCCGCGTAGTTAGCTAAGTTGGTAAACATCAGAAAACAAGCAACAAGGTGGTGCCTCCAAAACGATAGCTCTACGTTGGTAAACATCACTCCAATTTCACTATGGTGTAGAGATATATCGAACAAGTTAACGTGGATAACCAACTTATAGCTGGGGGGGGACACCCTGGCTGTTTTTTGAACTCTTCAAACCCTGCCATCATCGCTGATCGCTTTGGCTTTTTTGATGGCTGAAGCGGTCAGTCATCCCGCCGTGAATGGATGGTTGAATCACCGTGTAATCCTCATGGTGACTCATCATATTTACCCTCTGGTAAAGTAACATGGCTATGGAAAATGGCCCATATAAATAGATGGTTTACCTATTAAAAATGGTGATTTTCTATAGCTATGTTAAATTACCAGAGGGTAATCCCCATTTCTGTAAGTCATATCCTAAAGTCACTAAGTGTCATCCACATGACTTCAGCCCCAAACTGAGGCGCTGAAACAACGCTGAAACTTTCACAACAGCCACCGGCTCACCAGCTCGACTCAGAGTCGCCCTCTTCGAGGGCTTCAAGCCATGTGGTAAGAGGATTCGGTGTCTTTACAAAAAGGGGCAGTTCACCGCGGCTGTGATACACATGTGGAATTGTGGTGAATGTATAGGGTAACTATCCGAACATAGCCCAACAGTCCAACAGTCCAGATTAGTGAAATATCATCATTGACAACAATATTAACAATATTATCAATATCATCAATACTGAGGTTTATGGTAATTAAACGTTGGTTTTAGTAGTTTTAAATGGGAAGTTTACCGTCAACAATAGAGAATTAATGTGAATTATAATGCATATATGCTGGGAATATCAATAATATTCAATAAGAATAATGATAGAACGGAATGATGGCGAATGTATAGGGTAACTATCCCAAAATAGTCCAACATGTCAGATTAGTGAGACATGAATTACATAGATATTAATTACTGATAATTAGGTAAACCCAATGATGCACAATAGTTGTCGACAATAATAAACAATGATTTTCAATCGTTCAGTAAACGCAGAATGGTTTATGCAATCCATTTATCGTGATTTAGGGGATTGTTTACTATTGGCTTTGCCACATTAGATGGTCTGAATGTGCTTCTTTTTCTCACAGGAAACTGTGGTTTCAACATGCTTTAACTCCCCCGTTAAACATCCACATATTGTATAAGACGTTTTCCCATTCAACCAGGGCTGCAATATTATCATGAACCATTAAAATTGTGGATGTAAGGAGTCATGAGGACCAGAGGTTTTTGTATGCAAAAAAAAGCCATTGGTTCCCGAAAGATGAGCACAGAAAAAAACCGTTGAAATCACAGTCATATTGTAAACTCAAGGCAACAAAATAAACCAGACTATATATATATACCCTCTGGTAAACCAACATAGCTATTGAAAATGGCCATTTATAGTGAGTTTTCCCATCAAAAAATTACCAGAGGGTATATATATAATAACCCATTTTTGGGTCCCTAAGAGGCCGGACATCAAAGATCTCCCAAACATGATCCCATCGTCTACCCGGTACCGTGGTGTTTCATCAAACATGGCAAGCTGGAAAATCCATGAAAATCCCAAATTATGGACCATGGAAGTTTATAGCTGGGCAAATCTCAACTACTATCCTCATCCACATATATTAACCATATATTAACCATATATTAAGATCTATCTTGCCACATAGCCTCCATCCTCATCCACACTTGTTGCGTTGTGGTTGCTTTAACCCCGATAATCAGAGATGATTTTGGTCAGGAAACACGACTGTTTCGGCGATGGAAACAACACATACCCTCTTATAAATAACTAACAGTTTGCGAACTGGAACATCACCATTTTTCATACGCAAATCATCCATCAATGGCCATTTTCAATAGCTATAGCCCTGCCCTTGGTGTCTTGACACCGTGTTTCAGGGACGCCGCCGACACGTGGAATCTCTCCAACCGTGCCGCTGTGAAACCGAAACCGCGCCATTCTGGGACCATCTGGGATTTCATTTTTGGATGCCATTCTTTTTTATTCAAAAATCTTGTTAAATTCTGGGATGTATATACATACGTACATTAAATTAAATGAATATAATATATATATGTCTAATATAAAGAATATAATATCTGGTTGGTGGTTTCAACCATCTTGAAAAATATGAGTTCGTCAATGGGAAGGATGACATCCCATATATTATGGAAAATAAAATTGATGTTCCAAACCACCAACCAGAAATATCTATATACACATATACAATCCCAGATGAGTTGAAAACTAATAATGATAGTTAATGATACTAATAATATAACAACAATAAGATATATAATAAAACTATTTTTCTAGATATGGGATTATCTATGGTATAATTTACGGTACAAGTAACCCCATTCCAGGGCCCCAGCCACGCCGCGCTCGCTGACTGGGGTCAGAGACGAGGCAACCTTCGAAACGTCAGATGCGTCAAAGAGTTGGATACCTGAACATCTTACTCTATCAAGATATTACCCTCTCGTTATTTAACATAGCCATGGAAAATCCCTGATAAATGGAGGTTTTAATGGGAAAAGCATCTATAAATGGTGATTTTCCATGGTTATGTTAAATAACAATTGATTATCACCAATTGATATTGATATTGATTGTTTAATATTGATATGGAACATTAACTGGATCATCTTACTAATCAAGATATCCTAACCATTTAGTTGATTGTTTATTGAACATTATGGAACATCTTAAGATTAGTTTTGAAAAATAAAAGCTCCATTGACTGAGGATTTCCACTTACCATGTTTGAGGACACCCGTTTTGGGTATAATAAACCACCTGCCCCCAAGTGAATTTGTCTCTTTTGCCATATACGGTGAGGTCCCTGTAGCCATCAAAAAAAGGGGGGTCTGAACATAGGGTGTGCCCTAAATCCATGGTGCTGTTAAGAGGCCTTAAAAAACATGGCTCTGCGGAGAGGGACAATGATGATGAACATACTACAGTCGACTGGTTAGGAGGTGCAGTCTTATTATTTTAGAGGACAATGGCTTTGGACTGGGAAAAAAAAAACACAATTAACATCAATTAACCTCATTCCTCCCCTTCATTAATAAGAAGAGGACTGGCAATCGTTTGGAGGCCCAGATCATGATGATCATGGCCAATCTTGGATATGACAAAACAAACAAAACATAGCAACCATATTGTAGCACTACCATATATATATATATATACATATAAATATAGATATAGCAGTGCCAAAAAAAAAACAGAGATGGGCAAGCAGTCCGGCTGAACTATTGGATACTATTGGTATAAATCGAAGTTTCTCTATCCTTTTGGGGGTTCAACGGTTAAACAAATACAGTAACTGGAACTGGAACGCCATCCAATGTTCACCCATGACCGTCGGCGCCTCATCACTTCCGAGACGGACCCGTTTGACTCAACGTGGGGATGCTTTGTCCGCCGTAGAGCCAATAGACCTCGTGCTGTGACAGGGACTGGAACGAACAACTCGGGACATCAGGTCTGCAGTCCTGATTTACCAAAATTTACCACCTAAAAAAAAATGAAGAAATTAGCTTACATCTACTTGTAACTGGGCATCTCAATTATAGTTTTTCCAGAGCAGGATCAACCAACAAGTGTTTAAAAAAAAAACACCAAACAACTTGGCAACATCAAATAGCTGATGGAAAACAAAATGATATCAAATGGATTTTCTGCTGGGTAACATGTTCCATCACTGGTAGCGCAACAAACACACAAAAACAGATATATCTGAATGAAAGGCACTCAACATGTAACACGCGTAGAGCATCTTGAGGTAATTGAAGGGACATGTGAAATGATTCAATGATGTTCATAGATATCATTAATATCCCATGATATTAACATGATATTCATGGCTTCCCCATGTTTCTTTCCCATTTCTTCATGACTTCCGATGAATCTCCCACGTTTTTTGCAGCGTCTTCCACCGGTCTTCCCTTAAACGTTTAAAAAGCGACGAACTCGGTATACGAGAGGAAGCCGTCGTTGTTGGAATCCGCCGCCTTGAAAATGGTGTCACCTGGATTGAGGTGATTGAGGTTTCGAAAGGTCCAATTATGGTCTCTTAAAAAAAAAACACATATACATAGATATATATATATATGGGTGAATTATTACACTAACCTGAATTAAGGCCTTCTTCCAAAGGCCATTTAGGGATGATTTCCGGTATAAACCATGATTCCAGGGTTCGGTCGCGACGTGAGGTCGTTATAATTTACACAGATATATGGCTATGGATGTCACCATCCCTGCACAATGAGTGGCATACTGCAATCAGCTGTAGCCTATATGGACAACCATTTTAAGTTCGGTAAATCATCAAATGGTGGATTTCTAAAGAACTATTTTAGGATATTTTAGGTTTATATACTTTCTTGGGTAGGTCAATATTGATGAACCTAGTTTTGAGTAGGAATTTGGCTTTCAATCTCATCCCCAAGCATAGAATACAGTACTTGTCTCTCCAGTCATGGGCTCATGCACTTCTGGATGACTCTGGATGACTCTCAATGACTCATTCTGGCGTCCTGGGGAGCCACTCGTCACCCTTTTAAATCCTATTGTAAAAAGGCATAAACAGTACCGGCATGCCACTCATTTTCAGCCATTTTCACTGGGACCACTCATGGGTTGGGTACCCACATGATCTGGAAAACGCTTTTGACCAAGTTTGGCTCATCTACCCTCTGGTAAACTAACGTAGCTATGGAAAATCACTGTTCTTTTAATGGGAAAACTCACTATAAATGGCCATTTTCAATAGCTATGTTAGTCATTACCAGAGGGTATTTCCATCTTTTTAGCCAAGTCGCAATCCTTTGCAGAAATGCCAAGCGCTACTAGGACTTTGGTCATCTCTTCCTGCTACAGACCCTCGACTCGAAAAAATATCCCCAGCATAGCGTTCAAAACGCGGCAGGTCTACTTTGGAGAGAATAGCAAACAAAAACAAAGTCATCATTCATCATTCTGTAATTTATACACCTCTTGACAACATGTTTACTTTTGGCATGAATGAGAACTGAGAATTATTGTCTTGTTTTGATACATACCACCCACACACGTATGATCTGGGCAAATGACCACCGAGTTGGTTTTTGTTGTTTTTATTGTCATTGCCAATCTTAGACACTCTGCAAAAACATGTTAGCTGGTTAGTTCCTATTGACAGTATAGCAACAGATTCAGTGATTAGACTACTCATTCATTCCATACTTTTACACATGAAGCGTTAAAATTATGAAGCGATGGGTGGCGAACCCCTCCCTTGACATTCCCTATTCTGTAGGCATCCTCAACATCAGGTGTCGTCAAATCCCCAAAACACAGGAAGTTTGTCTGCGAAGTGGTTGAAGGATGGTGTTTGATCAATTTGCTGGTTAATATCCCGAGATTTCCTTTTTTGAATCCACAGTCTTGTTAATCAAACACCTATTTCTGCACTCTAATCTCCATAATTATTTCTCGCTAAATCGCAAAACAGTCTTGTCATCTGTATATACATATTGACCCCTACACAATTTTTAAAATCATAGTACGAAAACAAATGCACTCTAAATAAAGCCTTGGAATGCTTCGGACATGATTTCATATCTATGATTAGTAAAACAGTTTACACACCACTTTTCATGTTTTTTGTGCATCTGTTTTGTGCTGTTCCATCCGCAATGTTTCTTAAGCACCACGAGTACAAAACCGCGCTCGTCAAGAAGTCAGTGTCCTTTGAGATGCGTCCATCATTGGATGTATCCCACTGTCGAAACCTGTGATGGGAAGGTTGTTGGCGATATTTGTCGCATCCCCAAATAGGTCAGAAAAAGTATTTAAAAAAATGGACATGTGATGTAAATATGGAAGATAACTTTGGGGATATTTGATTATGCAACAGGGAATATAATCAGCAATAACTGGGAATTGATATATGATATTTAATGGGAAATCAACATTATTAAGGGGTGTGACTGAACATGACAAACAACCCCCCAAAACAATGGCCGTTATCATAGGGAAGATGGTCAAGCATCAAATTTTGAGGGAACCCTATTTTTTAGACACACCCAACTGTAACTGGGGAGATTCCATACCCAGTTTTGGGTAAGATTAACCAATGGTGGTTTAACCAAATGTAATATGTGGTTAATATACTGTTAATGATGGTTAATATGTGGTTAATATATGGTTACTGATAGTTAATAATTATCTGGTTGGTGGTTGACCTACCCCTCTGAAAAATATGATTTCGTCAGTTGGGATGATGACATTCCCAACTGAATGGACAAATAAAAACATGTTCCAAACCCACCAACCAGATATTCCATAAAAAATGATCCTTTCATGAAACCCAACTTGCCCACAGAAATTTTATCCCTCGAAACTTCCAAAACTTCCAACTGATTTCCTCGTGGCAATGAATCCATTGTCTCAAGATGCACCCATGTACATAGACAAATGGGAATCTCATTGTAACTTGCACACTCTTTTCATACGCAATATTGGTATGGGTCATAACCTATTATTGTATATATTACCACTAACCAACACTTACTTAAATTATCATCATATTATCATCCACTATATATATATATATAACTAAGATTTAGTTGCTTCGTGGATGTTCCCCTATTAATTATCAATTCTCATCATATGTTTTGGGGGAACATCTGGGTACCAGGATCCATAGGATCTATTGACCTGAAAGAATCCTAAGCCAAGCCCAGCACTCTGTCAGTGACGCGCCAACAAAAAACGGCTTTCATTGCTGCCAAATACTCATAATGATTCAATTCCCAGTTTCAAGTTCTTCAACTCTCCATCTTTTCTGACTGACATCCAATTCTTGAGTTTGCGTTCATCAAACCTTCTGTGTTTTTGGTTACAGTACCGCTTGACGTGCCCCAAACATTTGATGTTATACAAGTTTCTACGTCTGTAAACATGCACGTTGAGCCGTACAGAACTGGACCACCCCCCCAAACTTCCCAAATGTTGCCAATACTTTGCTGGTTGGTGGTATACCTACCCCTTTGAAAAATATGAAAGTCAGTTGGGGTTACTATTCCCGATATATATATACATATATATATATATATACATATGTATATATATATATGGAAAAATACCAACTGTTCCAAACCACCAACAAGTTTGTCACTTCAGTAAAGAACTGCCTTTTGTGGTAGAGAATCCTATATATGTAATTATGGAACAAAACCAATCCCATCAGCCTAATCATAAACACCCGCCAAAAACCATGCTTTCATAGCCGATTTACACATATATTTGCGACCATTTAGGGGCTGTTTAATGTTAGGGAAAAGGTTTATATATAGCATTGATATCCACAACATATCCCATACGAATCCTCATTAAATATCCCACTAAACCATGGCATTGTTTATTGTTTATTCTGTCCAGTAGCTGTTTGATCACATCGCCCTTCACGTCTCCACCTCGGAAAGTCGGAGAAAAACAACCAATGCTGAGTGAACGGTGACTTAATGGTGCCTTCATGGTGACTTGATGGGATAATAGCAATATAATACTGCGAACATGATTAATGGTAGATAATGTTTGATCATAGACTCATTTGGGTATGGGTCAATACCTATAGATACCATTTTTAGGGGGATGAACATCCAGTTACCAGCTATTTTGGGGTTCACCAGGGGGATAGGGTTTTGACCCATCCCCATTTCACGGCTGGATCAAAGTAATTTATGTGGGTTGATAATCATCGGAGAAAAAAAAAACACATGGGATAACTCCGGGATAATAATGAGGGTAGAATGGGATAATGGTGGGATAACAACGGGGCATATTTATATAATGGTTATGAGTGGTTAATGGTTGCGATGCATGGTTAATAATGATGATGATAACAATGGGATGATCATGGGATTATCATGGTTAAGTTATTAATGGTTAACTGGTTGGTGGTTCCAACCCCGCTGAAAAATATGAAAGTCAGTTGGGATGATTCTTCCCAATGTAAGGAAAGATAAAAAAAATGTTCCAAACCACCAATCAGTGATTATTAACCATTATTAACCATTATTAACCATTATTAACCATGGAATATACCCTCTGGTGATCAAACATGGCTAGCTGGGACATCCCCAATCAAAATTGATGAAGATTTACATCTGGGAGTTTCATCGATGAAGATGTTCCATTACCATTTAAACGGGTAGCCATGGGTCAATTAAAAAAAAAAACCAAATCCAAAAACATGGAATGGACTATAGAATAGTACTAAATGCAACAAAAACGGGAGTGTTACAGCAAATGCTGACTCACCACTCGAGAAACGGATGCATTTCCTGGGACCTACAGGCATAAATCAGTTCCCTCTTAGAGTATCTACGGTACAGTTCCAGCCTGTTCCAACGCAACATGGTTGCAGGGGTCCAGGGGACCCCCTGGGGGTTGCAGGGGTCCCAGTCTATTGAATGCGTTGCATGATGAACCAGCTCCATACCTAGAGATTGAAACCCAACAAACACCGCTTGTAGAACGAAGTTTAGTGACTTGACAGAAGACTTTTTTAAAAACAAAGTGCCACAACACACCCGCAGAAGTAGAGTTCATTGTAGTTACTTTTCGTTACTTATAGTTCCTGTAGTTACTTATAGTTGATCAACTGTAGTTACGTATCGTTACGATGCAAGGAAGGTCATCCCTCCAATTAACATAGACCTTGCCACATTTGGAGTTGTTCAAGACTACTTTCCTCCAAACATGGATTCTGCTAAGGGCCTACTATGTGAGTTTCCTTGGGATGGTAAATCAAAGGGGAATGATGCTTCAGTGATGACCAACTTAGAAAAAAAACACCCCAGCAGTCAGTTGTGCTATTAGATGAAGAACCCAAGGCCCAGGATGTCACAGGTATGTTTTTTTTTTTCCCCCAACAAGAACTCATGGTTTCCAACTTTTTCAGGAGCTATTTTCTTGGAGGATTGGTTTACAACACCATATAGTTATATGTGATGTTATATCCCTTACTTGCTGACTCTTACTAAGCATTACTAGCAAATACTAAGCATTACTAAGCATTACTAAGTATTACTAATCACATCTAATCACTACTCAGCATTACTAACCACTAACCCTTACGTGTTGCATCACTAACCTCTGGTTGCCCCTCGTGTTTCCCCATTGCCGGAGCACCAGCACTGCTGTTGGCCAAGGGGATCAGAGTGCCGCCCAGTCTGCAGCGGAGCAGGAAGCGTTGGACATTCATGGGACAGCACTGGGATTTTGATATATAGAAGAAAACACATGGATTACATGATATTGATATATTTTGACAAACCCATTATATTGATATATTTTGATATATATTTATGGAAAACAACACTAAATAATGGGTTTGTTTGAAAATTGGATTACATAATTTTCCCATCAAAATAGCCATTTGGGGGTATATCCCATTTTCAGACACGCCCATACGAATATCATTACTAAAAATATGGCACACCACTGGGACAATGGCAATATGGTACTATTGAATGTGATATACTGTTATACTGTTATATATGACATGTGCAGTATACAAATTTAATCATCAATGATGATCCATCAAATGATGAAAATTATACTGCAAATTCAATGAAATTTGATGATGTTTCAGGCGAATCGCCGTATTTTTGATGGATACCACTGGATACCCCAGTATTAATCAAATCGTTGACTCCCCGACTCCCCAATATATATATATAATATAATACATATATATATATAATACTACATACTGGGTATATATATAGATATCATTTCTCTTACACATCTTTTAGGCTGCTCTATTTGATGGATACTTCACTGGGAACTTCAGGAATCTAAAATGGAGGTACTGGACTGAGGCGATTTTTGGTGGGATATTCCCTGCATTAAGCCCTTACATAGGCCATATGTAATCTCATATATGTACCGCAAATCTAAGTACCAGAAGTGGCAATTGATCAATTCATCAATTCACTGCGTTCTTGAGTTTCTGAGTTTCTTCCCCAGATTCATCGTGAAAATTCATGATTTTCTGTGTCTCTAAATAGGAATCCCCCGACGATGCTTCCTTTTGTCAAAATGATGATCATATCTTGGGGGGTACGGTATACCCAATGATCAGAAACACCCAAATATCACTGGTTGGTGGTCTACCCAATGGATGCATAATGATAGTTCTATACCAGTTGATAATGGTTCAGAATCGTTATTTATAGTACAATAACTGGTATCATTAAACTGGTTGGTGGTATACCTACCCCTCTGAAAAAAATGAGTTCGTCAGTTGGGATGATGAAATTCCCAATCTATGGGAAAATAAAAAATGTTCCAGACCACCAACCATTATCATATTGTTGCATGTTCCCATAAAATATCAAATCGTTTCCAAAATAGTGTTCCGAAGGAGTTACACAAGTCTACGCAAACGTAACACTTGGATGATTTACAATACAGTACTCCAACTATTATCCCAGTACAGGGGTTCAAATGGCGCCCCTAAACAAGGCCAGTAATCAGCCATTTGGTGGTGTTTCAATGGATCATTTTTTGGGCCTTATTTTCTATCGGATAGATATACTGTAGCCAATCTGAAACCACCGAATACAGTAACAGTAGTTACATATAATTGGCTAATGTTTAATTTATATATATATATAAGTTCAAATATTCTCCCATGACTATCCTAGTATTATCCACTACAATCCAGCAGTTCAAAAATAGAACACGGCCCATTCAGTTCGACGATGTAACCTCTTAAGAATGGTGGTTTTCCACTTCGAAAAGTGTTAGTCACTACAGTATCCAATCTTCATGAGATTTTCACAAAAAATCTTCATGAGATGTTCCATAAAATCCACTGGAAATCGGAACTCTCATGATTCTGCCATGACTATCCCATCTCAAAGGCAGGATTTTTTCGGCCGGAGATCCTTTTTGTCGCTGACATGAATTTTTGGAGTGCGACATAAACACAGTTCCTGAAATCCCATGACATTTCACTTAATATATATATATATAACGTGTATATATATATATATATATAATGTGTATATATATATATATATTATATTTATTTTTTTTAAAGAATATTTTATCTATATCCCATTATCCCATATGATCTGCAAAGTGAAACATTGCCCCAAGCTGAAAATAGCTGAAATGTTCAGCTGCAGGGGGATGATTCCCCGGATCCTAATCATCATTCCAGTGACGGAAAACAGTGAGGTTCTTTTCATTCACCCAGGTATTACCCCAGTTTACATAACAAACACGTTCTATTGTAAGGGTTCATGGTAGATGTATCGAACTAGTTATACAACTATCCAGTCAAGTTAACAATCCCATCAATTATCAAATTATCTCAAATATCCACATTAATTATCCCCATTAATGTGGGTAGAACAATAATTAACCATCCCCCAGTCATCACCATTTTAATAGGTGGTATAAACCATTCCCGGTCATGGGTGGTTTATGGCATTATTTTTCCCCACATTAGATAGTTTAAACATGTTTAAACAACACAACTGGCTAATGATGGTTAATGATAGTTATTATATAATGGTTAAGTTAATGGTGGTTAATAAAGGATGGTTAATGATCATTATTAATCATCAGTAACCATCATTTATTAACCATAATGAACCATTGATAACTGTCATTACCCTCTGGTAAACTAACATAACTATGGAAAATCACCATTTTATAGCTGGGTAAACCAACTATTTTTATGGTCATATTCAATAGCAAACTGTAAACGTTTACCAGAGGGTCTGGTGTTTGTTATCATTAAACATCATTCATTAACCATCATTAACCATTGATAACTATCATTAACCATCACCCATCACTAAATAACCTGGTTTTTGGTTTTAACCATCTTGAACAATATGAGTTCGTCAATGGGAAGGATTATCCCATACATTATGGAAAATGACACATGTTCCAAACCACCAACCAGATAGTAAAAACATATATTAACCATAGATTAACCATATATTAACCATCATTTATCATCATTAACCATGGTAAATAACCATCATTAACCATCATTAACTATCATTAACCATCACCAACCAGCTAAATAACTATCTCCAGTCAACTTCCACCTCGCCTCACGACCGCCTTGGCCAAGTCCTCCGGCTGCCGCGGGACGGCCTGGTGAAGACACCGGGGGACCAAGGACTTTTTTTGTGCCAAGTCCATAGGAAAACCATAGGAAAACCATAGGAAAACCATGGGAAAAATGGTGATTTAATGGGATGTATAGCTGATTTATCATGGCTAAATTGGTGCGCATAACTCCAATAACTATCTATGTACTGTATATTGGTTTATGATTGGTTTATGATTGGTTTATGATTGGTTTATGATACTTTTATCTATAAATAAATATGGTTTATATTGGTTTATGATACTTTTATCTATGTATATGTATAATGATGTGGTGAAGCCAATGCCTTAAAAGCAACTCCCATGACTGGGGATGGTAAAAATCCTGACGATTTTGGGGATGGTGTATGGCATTGGGTTTCCCACATTAGTACCAACTAGTTTTAGTTGTAAACATGTGTAAACACTGTTTTATCTTAATTAATGCAAATATATATCAAATATATGTATATATGATGTGTATATATATATATGTAACTATTTATGCATATATGAATGTATTACGAGTGTATATGGATATATAATATATATATATATATATTTACATACAATTGTGCAAACCATAATTGAACATGGACTTTGAAACAACATTGCATAGATTGCATTAAATTGCTGGTTTAAAAGTAATCATATAGTTAAACAAAAAAAACACAGTTCAAGAGTGGTTCGACGGTCAGAAGTAGTACCCTCACTCATGAAACATCAAATGGGACTTCATTGATTTGGATAGTATGACCCCAATTGGATGTTGCGCATTCCACAACTGCAGCTAGGATTGGATTGATTGGATTGATTGGATGAGCAGAAATAGAACCAACCTTATCCATGCTAATCCAATATTCATCCACCAAACTTTATGCCGACCATCTGTGGGGCTAGACTCAACGAAAAGCCGACCATATGGATCTGGAATCCACCCGGATCTGCTATGGATTTCTCAACCCTTTGATGCTTCAAATGTCGATGGGTCGAAACTGCATTGTAGTCGCTGAAGCCAACCTCGTTCTTTACCTGTAAATCCTTCCAGTGTGAATCTTAAATATCTATTTGCATCGGCAAATAGAGCAAATTAATCATCATTTTTCCGGTGTAATCATCTATAATTAAAATTGCACTTATAATCTATCATGTTTTTTCTATAATTAATAATCTACATATTATAATTAAAGCGTCCTACGTTTTGCCAGCGCGCCTCAGCGCCGCCGTTCAGCAGATAGGCCGTGCAGGCCATCCGCCAGCTGCGACGGTGCAAATTCTCATCCTGGCGGCTGTGGAAACGGCTGGCAGTCACCAAGAAAAAAAAGGGGAAGTTGCCATGGATGGCCATGGATTTCCCAGAGTTTAGAGCTGAATGATGAAAAGCTCACGCTGAAAAATGGTGTTCTAGAAATACCTTCAGGTGAAAAAAATAGGGCTGAAAAAAGGGGAACGACCACTGCTAACTTTCGTAATTCGGGGGCTCCCCTCGAATTTAAGATTGAGGCCATGTCCCTAAGCATGTTTTCAATGTGCGATATTGTGTTTCTGTTTAAAACGCATTCCTTGCTATATAGAAAATTTGTGCATCAACAAAATGAGGACCATCATTTGAAGATATACAACAGGCAAGCTCAGTGAATGGATTGTTTTCCAAAGAAAAAATGATCCAAACATGCCAAACAAGTGGCGGCACGAAAGAATCTAATTGACTTGAAATTCTGTAACAGACTGTAACATGTTAAACATAATCCAAACAAACCATTGCTTTTGTTCAATGCCCAGTATGATCTCAAACAACTGCAAGATCTGTCAGCCTGTCAGTGCGTTGTTTTCCCTCCCCAGGCAGCAGTAGGATTGTGGATGATGATCATAATCAACATCATAGTCATCATCAACTTCATCATTATCATCATCATCATCATCATCGGCGGCGGCGGCGGCAGCGGCAGCGGCAGCGGCATCATCATCATAATCATCATCATCATCATCACCATCATCACCATCATCATCATCATCATCAGCGCAATCAACATCATAATCATCATCATCATTATCATCGTAACCATCATCATCATCACCATCACCATCATCATCATCATAGCAATCAACATCATAATCATCATAATCATCATCATCATCATCATCATCATCATTACCATCGTCACCACCATCATCATCATCATCATCGTCATCATCATCATCATCATCATCATCATCACCATCATCGTCCTCATCCTGGGTTCCCTCCAACTCGATTCTTCCAACTCAGGTTGGAAATGGATCGAATTGATGGTAGAAAGTACCATTCAATCATGCGCTGGCGGTGAGTATTGGATGTTGACACTTCCCTTAAAATTATCGAATATGGCATTGCTACCATTATTGGGAAACAAATAAAATCTATTACCATGAATATGCTGTTCAACCCAACATGATTGGCAAATCGGTCTAGCAATCGTCACATTTAAGGGAAAATTGGCGGGTTGATTTGAAACACAAATAAACATTTCCACCCACGGGATTTCAATGGGCCGTGGTTGGCTCTGACAGAGCCGGAGTTGACAAAAGTCTTGCTAGGAGATGATTAGATTGGCCTGCGCGTGAGCCTGAAAGCACAGACATGAGAACCTACCAGAAACAATGGTCAGATTCTGTCAATGTGCTGCCGTGATTGGGTAACTGTTTTTTGCTGATGGCTGCAACCAAAACTATTGTGTAGGGCCAGTGTAGGGTGGTTGTTAAATCATTAGTTTGCCTTTCAAACGTGCCAAGCACTTTGTTACAAGTCCTGCTACAAAATCTTAAACTCACAGGGCCGATCCTTAAATTCCGTTCAGAGGATCAGACCTTAAATTCAGAGGGCCAGACCTTAAATTCAGAGGGTCAGACCTTAAATTCAGAGGGTCAGTCCTTAAATTCAGAGGGTCAGACCTTAAATTCAGAGGGTCAGATCTTAAATTCAGAGGGTCAGACCTTAAATTCAGAGGGTCAGCCTTAAATTCAGAGGGTCAGACCTTAAATTCAGAGGGTCAGACCTTAAATTCAGAGGGTCAGCCTTAAATTCAAAGGGTCCCTCTGTACTTAAGGAATTTTGGCATCACTTTTTGATAAAAGACGCACAAAAGTCAAAGTTTTTGGTGAAAAATGTATGCCAGATTAGGCCAACTTGGCAATTTTGGCATCACTTTTGCATACAAATCATTTGTTTTTTGCCGTTTTTTACCCAAAAGTGATGCCAAAATTCCTTAAGTACAGAGGGACCCTTTGAATTTAAGGCTGACCCTCTGAACCTAAGGTCTGACCCTCTGAACCTAAGGTCTGACCCTCTGAATTTAAGGTCTGACCCTCTGAATTTAAGGTCTGACCCTCTGAATTTAAGGTCCGACCCTCTGAATTTAAGGATTGGATCATAAGAGTCTAAAGGCCCTTTGAATTTAAGGATTGGGCCCTTTCAATTTCAGGATAGTTGGATTCTACGCATTGACCATCAAAATTTAAGGGTTGACCATCTGAATTTAAATTCTGGCCATCGGAATTTAAGGATTGGGCATTTGTACTTAAGGATTGGCGGTCTGAATTTAAGGACTGGACCCTCTGAATTTAAGAACTGACCACTTGAATTTCAGGATTATATAACCATCTGAATTTAAGGGCTGATCCTCTGAATTTAAGGGTTTACCCTTTGTATTTAAGGACTGACCCTTTGAATTTAAGGGCTGGACCATCTGAATTTAAGGACTGACCCTCTGAATTTAAGGACTGGCCCTTTGAATTTAAGGATTTACCCTTTGTATTTAAGGACTGGCCCTTTGAATTTAAGGGCTGGACCATATGAATTTAAGGACTGACCCTCTGAATTTAAGGACTGGCCCTTTGAATTTAAGGATTTACCCTTTGTATTTAAGGACTGGCCCTTTGAATTTAAGGGCTGGACCCACTGAATAAGGATTGACCTTCTGAATTTAGCAAGATTTCCTTTGAAAGGGGTCCTCGGAGTGAAAGGGATCCTGGGTGCGCACGCGCCGCGCGCCAAAAAAGGCCTCCTAAATGAAGCCTTTTTGGCGCGCGCACGCGCGCGGCGCGCAGCTCGGGACCCCATTTACCCCAAGGACCCCTTTCAAAGGAAAGTTTGTTATTCAAGGACTAACCTTCTGAATTTAAGGATTTACCCTTTGTATTTAAGGACTGGCCCTTTGAATTTAAGGGCTGGACTCTTTGAATTTAAGGACTGACCCTATGAATTTAAGGACTGACCCTATGAATATAAGGATTTACCCTTTGAATTTAAGGGCTGGACCCTCTAAATTTAAGGACTGGCCCTTAAAAAAATAAAAAAAAAAGCAATACAGTCAAACAAATCGAAATATAAAAATAGCAAAAAAAACACTAGAAACAAACAATGAACATAATATTACAAAGTTTTTTAATAAACATAATAATCATTTTGGTTTTGAAAAAACACTGGAAATTGATCAAACTATTGAAAATGGTAAACAACACGAGAAAAAATGAAAATCAAATTGCAAATATTTTTGAGGATAACAATAAAAAAATTAAAACAATAGAAAAACACTAGAAAAATAATCAAAACATATTTAAAAAAAGGAAAAAGAAAAACTATAAACATATCAAAAACAATAAGAAAAAATGGTGCGTCAAGAAGTTTCCGTTTTGTTTGGTGGCACTGGCGTTTGGTGTCTAGTATGCCACCATGAAATTCAGTTTCAGAGTTGTCAGTGATAATAATGCTCACAGTGATTGATTTGCAGTTTTCTGCATGCAAATCATACTATTTTGTTGTTGTTTGCGTTTTCAGCTGGTCACACCGAAGTTGCTGGGTCATCTTGAGCTATGCAGCTACACCCTCGCATGGTGGATGTATCCAATCCCAGTCTAATCTAGTTTTGACTTCCAAACACCTCTTTGCGCACACACCCGACCCTTAAGGACAGTGGGGGTCCTTAAGCACAGGGAATCATGAAAGTTAACAACGACCACCGTTTAGGAACCACAAAAAATACCTCAGGCGAATACCGCAAAATCACCGCAAAATTTTTACGAAGGGCTTGAAATATCAGTAAATACCTCGTAAAATTAATTGAAAATTTATGACCTAGCAAATACCCAGTAAAAACAACATGGTTCATTTACAACGATTTCTCGACAGAACTTGTAAAACTCATGCTACCAACGAAATCCTTTGGATTTGACCAGGTATCACTCCAATGAACAAAACACACCGCCGCCAAGCAACAATCGCCATGCGCGCGCCGTGAGAGAACCTTGGTAACAAATTCAGGGAGTTGTAAAGATACTTCTTTGGTAATGACTAACATAGCTATTGAAAATGGCCATTTATAGTGAGTTTTCCCATTAAAAGAACAGTGATTTTCCATAGTTATGTTAGTTTACCAGAGGGTACTTCTTTGGAGTCATGAAGGAGACACCAAAAAACAAAAATGTCCTTCCGCAGAAAAAATGAGGCCAGTTTGGCATGCCCTGCATCATCATTGCCTATTGGTTCTGTTTCAAGGGGTTGACCTCTCCATTGATCCAAGGGAAAATAACAAAAGGATGGTCCACTGACAACATATGGAAACCTCAACTCAACCACATGATGACATGGGACCCTAAATTTGCCAATTTCCACATTTGCATTCCAAGCAAATGATTTTGAGATCCCAAACATATCTCTGGAGATGAGTATCCACTCGGAAGGAGGTGTTTATTTTTCAAACCTGCTGCGGCTTTTGGTGCCATTGCTTAGTAACTAACCGTGATTCTCATCCCGGGAAAAGAAAAACTTCTGAGCAGTGTCAAAAACCAAGTGACAAATCCTTCAAATAATGGATTGTGATAATTAAGCTCTGAAGGGTAGTATACAGTAACCCCCTCAACAACAACTCCCTATACTCTGCCGCTATTCAACATGGTTATATCGAACATGGCCCCACTTAGTGTGATGATCTACCATAGCTATCGAAGATCATCAAATTTATACATAATTGATTTCGCTACGTATGTAAACTGATGATCTTCGATCGCTATGGTATAGTTTACTTCGATAGTGATTTACATAGTGATAATCATTTATATAAATAAGTGGTGTAGATTACTGTAGCCTATAGCCATATATATATATACACTACATATAGACAGTGATTTAAAATACCAGCTAAGGCTAGCTAATCTATACCATATAACCAGATATCATATTCTAATTGTAATTGTAATATAGATATATTTATATATATATATATATATGTACGACAAATGCCTGGGCTTTGCCCGGACCCGCAATGACGACAGGCGACGCATCATCATCATCATCATCATCGTCATCATCGTCATCATCATCATCATCATCATCATCATCATGGAAATAAACCCTTATTGAAGATCTTCAATAAATGTAGAAGTTTAACGGAGGTGGGATAATTAAACCCTTATTGAAGATCTTCAGTGAATGTAGAAGTTTAACGGGGTGGGGGAATTAAACCCTTATTGAAGACCTTCAATGAATGTAGAAGTTTAACGGGGGTGGGAGAATTAAACCCTTATTGAAGATCTTCAATGAATGTAAGGTTTAACGGGGGTGGGAGTGTAATGTTCCGACCCTAGTACCTTTGTTGTTTTTCCCATAGGAATTTTGTGAAGTTGCATCAACATTTGTTTGGGAATGGGAAACCTCTACGCTGCAACGCCTGGGCAAAGCCCAGGTGTTGCGCGTATCCGCGTACATATATATATATATATACATATTACATATATATATATATATTATATACTAGCTATACATAGCTCACAGCACTGCCGACCTAGGCCCCCGAGCCAGTGATTTCCCACCATCCGGCGATTGGCGCCATTCACCAAGGCAACACGAGAGCCAGCCTGAGCGGCGGAATCCAGGGAATGACGGGCGAAGTTGAAGGGATTTCTTGAAGAAACATGTGGTTACTAGATGTTAATATCATCCAATCGAATCCATTTAAGGGATTGGGGGGTACGGTATACCCAATTATCAGAAACACCCACATATCACTGGTTGGTGGTTGAGCCACCCCTCTGAAAAATATGAGTTCGTCAGTTGGGATGATGACATTCCCAACTGAATGGAAAAAATAAATTCATGTTCCAAACCACCAATCAGTTACTACATGTTATAATCCAATCTAATCCATTTAAGGGATTATTGAATCAGTAATCATGGTTGATTGTTGATTGAACAATGGTTAATTAATCATGTGGTTAATGATGGTGAATATCATGGCTAATCATTGTTAATCATATGTCAATAGAACCCAATCAAAGCCATATATGTTAATTATGCTTCATCATATGGTGAATCATGTTGAATCATTGCGATGTTTTCACCCTTGAAGCAACACATCTGGGATTCACAAGTCTGGTGGGATGAATCCTGAACTGGGGATCTAACCAACACAAATGGGCTTGAGTCATCGGTATCCCCGTAGTTTTTTTGTTTTAAAACCCCATTATAGAACTATAGTTGTAAGTGAAGCATAGTTATTGGATTGTTGCACCGACACAGCTATCGTTCCGGGCCCCCACTTTGTACATGTTTATTTTGCTCGCAGCATACAGTTGCGGCTGCCGCTATGGCTTGACAAAATGAAATCACAGAACTCTGCATCTAGAGTGCAAAAGGATATACACAATCCCATCAACTATACAAGCATTATTAATGTCAACCCTGGATTAATAAACCCCTAGGCTGTTTAATTGGGGGGATACCATTTATGTACCATATTGTGACTATTTGGAGGGTACCCCCTAATCAATAAACCATGGTTTATTAATCCGGGGTTGACATTACACACCAAGAACTACTCTTCAATCAAACCTGGCCATGGAAAGTGTACAAAAAGTGTCTCTGGCAAATCATGTTGCACTTCCGCAGTACGCGACATTTTATATAAATGGTGTTTCTCACTAAAACCAAAACTCTATAGAGATGTTTTTCTCACCGAACGAATCTATTTAACCATCATTTATTAACCATCGTTAACCATTGATAACTATCATTAATAACCATCATTAATCATAATTCACCATAGATTAACTGTCGTATTGATCTATTAACCATATATCAACCATGTATTAACCATGATAACTAACCATATATTAACCATCATTAGCAATATCATTATTTTTCATTGTTAACCATTATTAACCACTATTAATCACTGGTAATTAAACCTAGCTATCATTAACCATGAAAATCATTATTTTCTATTGGTGATCTTTCGCCCAGCCATTGACACCGACGCGCCAAGGCTCATCCGCCAGATTTTGCGCTGCGACCAGGGCGTCCGCATTGACCAAGGTCCTGGGTGGATGGGAAGGCGATGGCCGCAGCTGAGATCAAAACATGGCCTAAATGGTGATTGAATGGATTTTTTTCTAGCTACAAACCTCCATTTCAACCTCGATTTCTAGTATTTCTAGAGGATTTCCCTATAAATCTCCATTCATAGATGGTTTTTCCCGTATTTTCCAGTGGTTTTCCCATAATGTTCCCATTCAAAGTTCCATATAATCTACAGGACATGGAGGTTTCCGTCTTGTCATGGGGTTACCCCTAGATCAGCCATTTATACATGGGATTGTCCATGAAATAAAGCATCCATTGGGGGTACCCTGATTGTAGGAAACCCTTAAATCGTGATTGAATGGAGATTTCTTGTGGATTTCGCGGAGATAATCCATGGGATTTAGTAGGATTGTATCATGGTTGAATATAATAGGTATATCATGGATATCTAACCAACAATATGATACCATGAAAAATACCCCAATCCCATCTTGTGCTGGTTGGCTAGTAAATATTCCTATCATGGGCTACTATAATGATCCCCAATAAGTCAGTTGGTATGATTTCCTATATTAACCTATCAACATATTGTTGTTTTTTCAATGGCTCAGTTGGGTTTGTTTTCTTTTTTGTAAGGTTAGTTTCAACAGCCATGGTCTGTGAAACCCCAAATCAGCATGTGCCAATAGGTGTGGGCCAAATCATATAGCATCCACCCACTTCAGGGCGTGAAGTAATTTGATTTCGAAAATCAATCTTTCAGTATCCCTCCAAGAAAAAAACAACGGGTACTCCAGTCCATCCTGACCTTTCAAGACTTCATTTTCCCCCATTTTAAATTTACATACCATGTTTGGTGTATCCCCATATCCTCCTTCTTAGTACACACCTACCCATGGCATCCCCATGAAAAATCTCTGTTATGGTTGGGGTTTTATGTCCCCTTTGGAGAGAACCACATAATATTCCGATATTCCGTACAATGTTCAACAATTTCCAGGCTTCTCAATTGTTCCTTAATGTTCTTAATGTTGAGATTGTTGAGATTGTTGAGTCATATTCCGGAGTTGGTCATCAAATGCCTGGTGTTTATTCACATTAAGATGGCAATCCCTGAATTATTGTCATCTGTCATCCATCTTATTTCAAGGGAAACGCTGTGAATGGATTGAGCATCCCCACTCGGAATTACCCATGAAATTCCCCATTTTGGTTAGTGAAATCTTCATCTCTCCATGAACTCTCCATGACATCCCCATTTTGCTCAGGCGTCTCGATGGCCTTTGGATGGATCAAGCCAGTCTTGACACCTGCGAAAAACGATGGATAGTGTTATATTTAATGCTATATGCGTATATATATAATCCTATATATAATCCCATGTATATATATATATATGGATATGTTTATATATGATGTTATATACATATACATATACATATACATATACATATACAGATACATATACATATCATATACATATACATATACATATACATATACATATACATATACATATACATATACATATACATGCTTACTGTATACTATAATCCCACATGGTGAGAACATCATTTTTTGTATAGTGGGATCATGGGAATATGTTAGAATATATATATATATTCATTGGAATTTCTGAGAAAACATAAAACCAGATGCACGGTTTACGAATCCATTGAGATGATCCTGCAAATGCTGAACATGGATGATTCATCGTTGATGTAGCTATATAGATGCTACCTATACCGCCTATACTTTTTTAGATGCTACTAAGACAGTATAATGAACAATTAGGCATTAGGAACTTAAAGATGGATAGATGATGTGTGTTGATATATCATTAGATATGTAGCTAGATATGCAATTACAGATAATATGCACATTCATCTGTATTGCTAGATATGGATATGTTGAAATGTCATCGAATGATCACTGATGGAGTTTAAGCTAAACATACATGTTTCATCATTTTTCTGGGGGGTCAACGGTTTTGACCCGAAATAATTCCGCCCTACTTTCATATTTTTGTGTTACTTTGAATATCCTCAAATGATGCTGAGCTGGTTGATTTTGCTTTGATAGTTGGTGTCTCAGGGTTTTACACAACAATTTTACGCATGGGTCTCTAAGAAAATAGAACTTGTAAAAAACTCTCAAAGTAATTTAATATTTAGGGTTTACCCTCGGGTCATTGAACATAGCCATGGACAATTTCGTATTTGAGTAGATGATTTACCAATTAAACATTGCCATTGTACATGGCTATGTTCGATTTCCTTCTTGCGGTGGGTTCCGTGGACCCTGCCTGCCAAGATCTCTGCCAGAAATGCTGTGGCGTTGGCGTCCAACTCATCTCCTACAGGGGGGGTACCCCAATAGCTGGTTGGTTTATTTCATGGAAAGCCCTAAATGGATGGTCTGGGGGTACCCCAATGACAAGACGGAAACCTCGGAGGTTTCAGAAACTTGGAAAATCCTGGGGATCCCAGACCATTGCTTTATTACCCTCGTCTGTTGCCAGGGGGGGGGGTGAGGCACCTAAAAAAATAAAATAAAATGCAGGGGCCTAAGGAGAAAATGCCAATAAAATGAGAGGGCATAAGGTAAGATAGGAAAACCCAAGCAAAATACAATAGACAGGTACAAAAAGAAAATGACGTCGGCACCCTCCACCTGGCCACTGGTGGACCTACATTATGCAACTGTTGGACCTCGGGCTCCGGCATTTTCTTTTGGGTTGATCTTGTTTTGTCTTGTTTCCTTCTTTGATTGGTTTTAACTTAAACCATGTTTAGTCTTGTTTAGTCTTGTTTAGTCTTGTTTAGCCTTTTCACGTGCCAACAGGAAGGAAAAATTGCGCGGATTTCGATCAATATAATATATGTATATATATATAATTGGTTCCACTTCTGACATCTGGATGGTTTCTAGAAAAGATACAAATAAATATAAATAAACTTAAGAAATCTCATTGGCTGCTGTAAGCTGCCCGTGTGTCTTTTGTTGACCAAGGAAGGCAATAGAAAATGAGGGGGGCCAACCCATTTTCGAAGTTAATGTCCAAGTAGTTCCAAATCTCTGGAATGTTTCACAAAAGGAAAAGGGGAAAAAGGAAAGGGAAGAGACAGGAAAAAGGAAAGGGAAGGGAGAGGAAAGGGGGGAAAAAAAAACAGTGTCTCACACGAACCATTTTTGATGCCAAAAGTTATAGTTTTCGTTATCATTTTATTAGCGTTCGTAAATCCGCTGGAACGTTTCACAAAATGATCAGGCAGTTCCAAGCTGTGCATCTTTGCTATGATGCTATCTCTGTCAGTTAACTTGATGGGTTAGGCACCTCAAGAAATAAAATGCACCCACAAAATAAAATGCAGGGGTCTGACCCATTTTATTTTCATTTTATGTTTTTTATTTTAAAAGGGGCTTCAGCCCCCCCATTCTATTTAGGTACCCCGGACAGGGGTCTTTATTGCTTTCCCTCTTAAACACACCCCATTTTGCGTAGTTTGTTTGGGGTCCCCCATGTTCAGAAGCAGCAAAATTTAGTGCCCAGCTGGAATCCTCTTCCGCTCGGAGCGATGCACAAGTGAACCTTCCCCTAGGCGCAAGGTCCGGTCAGGGGTCATCTTTTGCAGCCCACAAGTGGGAAACTGATTCTTGGACACTTTCGGACCAAGAATCCTTGGGAATGTCGATGAAACCTTGAATTCTGTGGGCTCGTCCATGGGTTTTCCCCTATGATTCTGTCATGAACAACATCAACACACCTTCTGTCGCAGATCGACTGAGATGACTAGGTCCTAGGTCTGCCCAAGCAAGGCCCACACACATTTGATACTTCACCTTCCCATAAGTTCTCTCGTGTTTCAATTTAGTTCATGGATATCTCGGCCAGTCATGTTTCAGTCCCAGAGTTTCTCCCCATTATAATCTTATATATATATATCACCATGTTCATTGGTGAATGTTCCATGTTTTCAGATCCAACGCCACCAAAAAACCATCCAACAAAAACTGGCCTTAAATGCAGTGAAACCAATGAAATCCCCCATTTTTCTCAGATCAAACGTGAACTCCCATAATTTTTTTTCAGATCCAAAGTCACCAAAAAACCATAACAAACCCATCCAAACAAACCTCCCTGGATTTCACCAGGCAACCACGAAGAGCTTGGTTTCGCCCAGCGCGCGCACGAAGCGCTTGGCCAGGGCATGGCGAAGCTCCCGCAAGCGTTGGCCTTGCAGGTTGGCCTTCGCGACGACGGGCTGGGGAAGTATCCAATGGCTATAGATATCCAATAGGTAGAATAAGAGTTAAGTTATCCAATATTCTATTACCTATCCTATGTTTAAGAATATTGATGAATATAGTTATCCAACAGTTTGAATTACTATACATATACATATATATTATATTATATTATATTATATATTATATTATATTATATTATATATTATATTATATTATATTATATTATATTATATTATATATCCAAAATGTGTTAAATCTTAATATGGGCTATGCGCTCTGAGTTCCTATAAATTATATGTGATTTATACTTGTTAAGACTGCTATATAGTTATCAATATTAGCATAATATAGTTGATAATTTATAATATAGTAGTAATGAAGTATGTAACTAGGTAATAATAAGTGTATATAAGTGTGTATATGTGTATACAACACTGATATTATCAATAATTGTTAAACTATAATTGCCACCAATAGTGGATGGATGCAAAGAATTTATATGTAAATCGTTATCAGTTGTTAATCATACCAATCTTGTATTAACCACATAATGGTACAGGCGAATCAACGAATTTATCAATCATACATATTTATACTACAGCTGGCAGTGTGTCAAAACCTTGTACCCCTGGTGAACATCAAAATAATAGCTGGTACATGGATGTTCATTCCCCTAAAAAAGGTATATAGGTATTGATCCATACCCAGCTAATGTAATGTGGAAAACCCAAAAACCTATAATGGACTGGTTCTTCAAGGGAAAATCTCTACAGGAAACTTTTCTGATTTTTCTCGGAGGTGAAGTCCCCATCTGAAAATGGTGTATACCCTTAGCAATGGTCATAGGGAACATTATGATAATACATTGGAATTGGGAATACCCTATTTTCAAACAAACCCGTACATTTATATATTTATATATATATATAAACAGATACATACGAATATCTACTATATACACAACTGAGCGAAGCTATTTATATAACCCAACTTCGCTAACAAACTGGGGCACCACATTGATGCATTCGTCTAGGTCACTGCCTTGGTTCCCTGGTGGACCATCAGCGAACCAGTCCCCGATTTTTCTGCTTGTTCCCATGGTTAAAATCCCTTGAAATAGCATAGCTAGGGGTAATAGTTGATGTAGTTGATGATATAGTATAACTTAAAATCCCTCAAAATCCCAACATTTTATGCGTTTTAGCCCCTGTGATGAAACATTCCCGGGAAAAAAAAAAATCCTTCAATCACTCGGGCCTCAGCGTACTCTGGATCCAGCTTATACAAATTTCGCAGAAAGGCGCCCATGCCGAAGGGGAAGAAGACGAGATTCGTCACCTCAATCTCTGGGTTGTCCTACTGCCCTACTTGGGGACAGTATTGCCATTGCCATTTCAGAAGGGAATTTGTTTGGACGATGTTAATGTGTCCACCATTTTTTGAATGGGAGAATGGGTGATCTTGTATCATCCCAATTCCATCTCCTACCGGGAGAATATCATCAAATGGGAACCATGAATCGGGGAAACCATCAACCATGGTGATTTTCCATAGCTATATGTTGGTTTATTGGAGGGTATCGGTATCTGCGCGTTTTCCCCAGAAATGGTGGATTTGCCTCGAATTCGTTGCAATTTCACCACTAAGCGTATTTTTGTTGGTGAAGATGTGCAGTGGAAACCATGGATCTCAAATTTCGTTCGTCCTGCCCCAAACATGGTGGATAAAGTGATGGATAAAGTGATAACCTCTTTCTGTCTGTCGTCTTAGGGGTGACCAGTTTGGTCAGTCATAACTCATAATCATTCTGTTTGAATGTGAATGCTGGTACAGTACTTATGGTACTTGACACTCACGATTTCTGTTTCTCAGGGTAGCAACGAACCAAAAGAACCACGCCAACAAGATATGAAACAAGCAGTCCAAATCTGGCTACACTAAACACAAAAAACTAAAGATATCTAAAGATATGATATGGGGCACGGGGCACATATTCTAGTTGGGCAACAAGTTGTGGACACCATCTGCGGCTCAAAGTCGCCTTTGTCTGACCCATTCAAAGCCGCACTGTGCAGTTCATAGCCTCATAGACCCAGAAATATACACATCCTTGAAATGATCCAAGTTGCATGTTGTTGCTTTATCCAACATTTTACTCTCTGGTTATTTAACATAGCCATGGGATAGATGGCCCATTTATAGAGGTTTACCTATTAGAAATGGTGGATCTTTCCATGGCTATGTAACAAATAACCAGATGGTAATGGCAATATATCACATACTATTAATATATTAATCCCAACTAGTAACAATGATATGGTTGATACACTATTTCTGAACCATATTAATATTATATCACATGTACCATCCAAAAAAACTCCTATCGGTTTTCTTCCCATTCGCCCATCCTCAATCCTCTTTGAAGCCGATCCAAGGCACGCCTAACGCTCCAGCTGCTTGAAGAATGTTCTCCTGGGCCGAAGCACCACCATACGGGGGATGTGAACAGAATTTTAATTGACAATATCCAACGATGTATATATTATGTATACTATATCATTGCATTATATAGATTTATATAGTCATTAGCTATGATGAAATCCCATTGCCATATATATATATACATATGCGTATATAATATTGTATACGCAATAAATCACTATTATATCTTATCAAATCCCATTAAACCACATTCAATCACCAGTACCCTCCGGACCGGGCTAGTTCGAGGCTTTCCCAGCGGCCGGCCATGTAGGTGGATGACATGCAGCCCTCATATGCTATTGAAAACAGGTTCAAAGCATTTTTTTCAAGACCTCGACCTACAATGTTAAGTCTGTTAAGTACTCTCCGAGAAACCATGCATTCATTGGTTTCAACCAACACCATCCAACACCCCAGATTCACTGCGAGATGTAGCTCTGGTTCAACAGTTCAGACCCTGAAGATTGCATACCTTGACTTGATCATGCATTGCTTGCTATTATGTCTTCACTGGGTGTTCTGTTTCTATGTTTTTTAGGATCATGTTTGCAGGAGGTTGGAGACATATTCTCGACCTGCCCTTCCAATCGTCGCCATTTCCGTCGTTGAAACATGTTGAAACCAAGGGGCGTAGATTCGACCCATGTCTTCGATATACGCAATGAATTCTAGCCTGGCTGCGGTGTCAGCTGCTGAAATCAAACCAGCAAACACGTTATTGGTGGGTGTTGGGGCGTGGTATGTCAACCTAGATACCCACAGCCGGAGCTTTTCAACAAGATGATCCGTGAAATAATATATGTATATACTATATATATATATATATATATCTATCTATCTATATATCTATATTACGTATATATACTCACACTTTAAGTGTCTTGTTGGAGATTACTACAGTACCTAGCCGATAATCATAGGTCGAACATGGCCAAGCCTCGATACTTCAAGAGGCATGTCCATTCGAAAATCAAATAGGGTATTCCAAAAAAAAACTCGTCCTTAGTTGATCATAAATATTATATATATATATGTATATCAATAATGATCATATATATATATGTATATATAACTTCCATATTCAAATTATATAAATTATTGTTATCAAGATTATTTTTTTTTTCATTTTGAGTAATAACCAAAGCAAATATCTTTGGCCAAAACCCAGTCCCTCATGATTCAAACCGACATCGGACAGGCCAACACGGGGATCGCGATGTAAAAAATCGATAGGCAGCGTACCAGCGGTTTTCGGCTGCAAAACGCAGCCGGATTCAGTGAATGTCTCTTCTCCAGTTACTGGATGTTACCCTCTGGTAAACATACAAAAAGCTATTGAAAATGGCCATAGAAATAGTGGATTTAGCCATCAAAAATGGTGATTTTCCAGAGTTATGTTAAATTACCAGAGGGTACTGGCCAAACATGATGCCATTCTGGTCCAAACTTCACCGGTCCCAGTTGTTGATCCACGCTGGGGCTCACCCGGGGCACCCGGATCAACATCTTGAAAAACAGATCGATTTTCTGCTATCCGCGTCTGGAAATGAACCCTAAAACGACAGAAACGAAGGTACCCCAATTCCAGATACACAAAATTGTTCAAGCAAATATGGTGCGCCCAGTTCTAAGGTGGTTTCCACAACATCATTGAACATCTATGAACTACTTCGATATATCCAACATGAACCTTCGAATTCGCCGAGTTATGTTTACCGTATTATCAATGAAACCACTTGTCAATGGCCACTTCAGGAATCTTAATTGGAGGTACCTACCATACATAAGACCTATGTAAGGGCATGGTAAGTGGATCAATACCCCCTTTTTTCTCTGGCCTGACTTATATGGTACGTGCGTACCGTACCATTTTAGGATCCTGGAATTCCCATTGAACTTGGCACAGTGACCTTCCCATCTCGTTGCTGTAGTCCCGAAAATCCTGCGAGCGATGGAGGGAGTGGATACCGTAGGATACCAAAAAGTCATGACAGCATGACAGCATTTGAATTCTTAGTTGAACTCACCTAATATTACTGTAGATCATCAGTTTCCCATCATAGCCTTACTAAATAAGATCAAATAAATCATCCATTTCCCATAACCCTTATTATAAACCTTATTAAACCAACCATTTTCAACTCATTTTCCCATGCTATCCTTATGAAAACGGTCATTTTGACAGGAACTTACCGGGTGGCGCCAGGGCACTGTGGCATGCTCGTTCTCACCGATGTTCAACGCTGCGGCGTGAAGCACCTGAGGATGACGCAAACAGTGGGTAAAGTTTATCACTGGATTGGTTTAAGGGAAAATTTGAACCGGAAACCCATGGGTTTTTACCATCAAATTGATCGGGTTTTCCGGTTAAAATTTTCCCATCATCCAATTCTATGAGTTTAGGGTTTTAAACAAAAGTTAACTAGGAATAGTTAGCTGGTGATCAATAGTTGTTAATACTTAAACTAATACTTAAAACTGTGGTGTTAATTAACTAAGAACTGGAATTACAACTGGTGTCACAAATAAAGTGTAAATATTGTGTAACTAAGAACTGGAATACATCACTAGGGATAGTTAGTATAGTTAAGTGGTGATCAATAGTAGTCTATCCGACTATGAGGATAAAAGTGGGTTGAATGGTTAACTAATAACAGGTTACCCTCTGGTAAATTAACAGTTGGAACCTGAAAATAACAATGTTTTCATGGAAACTAATCCTCCAACCCCTATGTGGCCTATGTTCTTCTACTGCAGGGTAACCAAAACAATGTTATGGCTATTATTAACACACTATTTTGTATTTGCGTATACTGTATACTAACACAACATGACATTCACTTTAACACCGTTATTAACTAAAACATACTATATAAACCCATATTGTTGTTTTTTCTTTTCAATCAGCTGTTGAATAGTTGATTGATAATTGGCTAACAGTTGATTTCAACAGAATAACCTGTGAATGGCTGGTAGCCCAATTATGAACATAATGATGCTATAATCAGCCTGAAGTTTATACAACTATTTCTGCTATACATCAGATCCTGAGCAAAAAGGGGACCAAACTGGAAATGTTTGTGGGTTCAAGCTACTTCAGGATGATTATATATGTAATATTATGTCATGAGTACGAAACTGATGATTAGTTGATGAAGAGCTGGTTAATACACGGATTGATGACTGGTGAATAGTGAATAGGTGAAAATCATTGGTGAGAAAAGGGTTGGTACTTGGCTCATATTCCAGTGGCCTTAACCATTCTGTTTGGTGAATCTAATCTACCCATGTACTGTAGATAATGCCTTGATCTGGAATCACTAGTGGAATGTGGTGGACCTATTCATTGTTGGATTCCGACTTCCATATTTTCTTGGATGATAATTTATTCATGAAAACTTGTTTGAGAAGTTTGGGTGTCATCTCGTTGCATCTATTAATGTAGTACTTTGAACATCTATGAACATACGTCATGGCACTGCACTTCATGGTAAATTCCTGAAACAAGGATCAGTAATGTTACGCAAAAAAACACAACAGCGTTCGTCATTTTGACTCATTCAGCAGCATCCAAAGCTCTGGTCCTCTACAATATTGTTGGTTATATGAATCCCAAATACATCCCCATTATACTCCACTATCATATATCATACCCCAATATAATATTGATGTTTGTTTCCCTTTGTTTCCATTGCTGAAAAAGATCTTCTGCTGACATCTATACACAGACTGCTTGTAATGAACCACGTTCGACTTCAGGGCCAGTCACAGATTCAAAGGGATGATGTAGCTATCAGGGTACCATAGCCATAGCTATGAACAATGGCACATTGATAGATGGTAAAAAGGAGGAACTATATACCTACTACAAATGGATATGTTCCAGTTCGCTATGTTAAATCGCCAAAAGATACATAAATCCGAGATCTGTGGGGGTAGTCTCAAACCATCCAGTCATTGGACCATGACTCGGTATTGAACTTAACCATGGTGACTTGGGGATTCCCCATGAATCAATCCCATTGATCATCATGATGTGTATGTATATATATATATATACATACATATATATATATATACACATATATATATAGCCTATTAGAATCTATTAGAATCCTCATTTCACCATGATCATCCGATTATAATCCCATCATTTTCATGGTTTACCCCATTATAATCCCATTAAAAACAACACATTCTACGCCCATTTCACCAGAATCCCCACATAAAACTGGCAGAATCCACATCCAAAACGCCAAAACGGCTGGTTCCAGGCACCCAAAACGCTCCCCTCTTCGAGCCGTTCATGGTCGCGGCGCTGCGCACCTGAAATTGACGAAGGTTTCGGCGCCGGGAAGGACACGGGGAGAAAAAAACAGGGGGTGGGTGGAAAAAAATGCCAATTCTTGGAACATTTACCTGATATCATATATATATATAATATATGATATTATATATATATATATGTATGTGTGTGTGGACATATATATATATATATATGTAATATAATAATATATATATATATAGGAATTTCGGATTGAAACAAAACAAACAATGCCAAGAGGCTGCCATGAATATGAATGTGTTGATTTGGGAGGCTTTTTGATTGCCAGTCAATGATTTACAGTGGGCTGAAAATACTGGGACCATCTTGGAACTACATTATATAAGAGGATATAATATTATATAATATTATATAATATTATATTTATAATGTGTGTGTGAAGATTAGCATGTGCGGATTGGGATTGGACGGATTCTTGGTACTTTCCAACTTGGGATTGAAAATGAAACACATGGTACTTTGCGAATTAGTTCCTTTCCCCTGATATCAAACACCCCCATATAATTACACAGCTGATCCAATACTTAACCAGGGTTTTAGATACCCTCAACTACAAGCTAGGGACCTCAAGGATAATACTCTAGAACCCCAGTGTGGTATCTAAAATCCTATCCTCTGTGCGTTTCCCTGAAAATAGAAATACCCATTCTAGACCAAAAATTCAGGTATGGGGAAGGGGTCTGGAATCATATCCACTTTTGGTACCTTAAATCAGAGAGGAACGGAGGACATGATTCTAGAACCTGGTGGCCTAGTATGGTAATGCATTCTAGAACCTCTGCTTGGAAACCATGCTGTTGGATGTGTTGGATCATTGATTTCAATGAAACTATTTGCTTCAACCCAATGGCAATGTTAGATGACACCGATCATTACATCACAAAGCAAAAAAATATAGACACGATGTCTATTCCAGCATTCGACACAGATTGGGCTTCCCTGAATCCACACTCCAGGTTATAAAATCATATCCGCCATCCTCTGATGTTGGTGATCACCCCAAGACATTGAGTGACATGATTTTAGACCCCAGGAAAATCATAAGGCAAAGTTATTTGGATCATACAGGATGTAGAATTGTTCAGAACTGTGATAAACTAAGGCAAACCAGGTTGGGCTTCCCTGAATCCACACCCCAGGTCCTAAAATCATATCCACCATCCTCTGATGTTGGTGATCACCCCAAGACATTGAGTGACATGATTTTAGACCCCAGGAAAATCATAAGGCAAAACTATTTGGATCATACAGGATGTAGAATTGTTCATAACTGTGATAAACTAAGGCAAACCAGGTTGGGCTTCCCTGAATCCACACTCCAGGTTCTAAAATCATATCCACCATCCTCTGATGTTGGTGATCACCCCAAGACATTGAGTGACATGATTTTAGACCCCGGGAAAATCATAAGGCAAAATTATTTGGATCATACAGGATGTAGAATTGTTCATAACTGTGATAAACTAAGGCAAACCAGGTTGGGCTTCCCTGAATCCACACCCCAGGTTCTAAAATCATATCCACCATCCTCTGATGTTGGTGATCACCCCAAGACATTGAGTGACATTATTTTAGACCCCAGGAAAATCATAAGGCAAAATTATTTGGATCATACAGGATGTAGAATTGTTCATAACTGTGATAAACTAAGGCAAACCAGGTTGGGCTTCCCTGAATCCACACTCCAGGTTCTAAAATCATATCCACCATCCTCTGATGTTGGTGATCACCCCAAGACATTGAGTGACATGATTTTAGACCCCAGGAAAATCATAAGGCAAAATTATTTGGATCATACAGGATGTAGAATTGTTCATAACTGTGATAAACGAAGGCAAACCAGGTTGGGCTTCCCTGAATCCACACTCCAGAACTAGCCCACATGTATTTCAACAATTGAAGGACCCCTTCACAAGATATGATTTTAGACCTCAGTCATCTAGCAGGCTAGCATCATTATAGAACCCTTACGTCAAGGGATTTTCTAAACAAGTTGAAAGTTCTATAATGGGAGGTCAGAAGGTTCTATAGTACTGGGATCAACCCATTCTAGACCCTGGGTGCCCAGACCCCTGGGGGTCACTCATTCTAGAACCCTTGTACTTGAGGGTATGGTTTTAGGATGTTTCAGGGGGTGTATTCAACAGGGGGGGTGAGAAGGGATCAGTAAGTTCCTCATTCCCCCCCGCCGCAGCATTGATTTTTGGGACTCCGCAGCACCAGGCGTTTTCCCCACGGCTTCTTCTTTCGCGGAAGAAAAGCCGCAGCAAAACCCACCCCACCGGCTGCAACACGCTGCAATCAGCTCCAAGCAAACGTTCCGACGATGCCGCGAGAAAACATGATTCATGGCACGAGCAATAGATTGCTATATCTATGGATCAATCTAGAACATCAAAAGATAGCTAATGCCAGAAGATTTTTGTTTTCGTGTTCATCCTCCCAAAAATTAATGTTTCAGGTTTTGCCCCAAGCCCTGTTTCTGTTGAGTTTTGGTGGATCCGTAACCCCAAAGATGTGGTTTTTTCACTATGGAAGCATCACGAGTAGAGGATTCATAGTGAGCAATCACGAACCAAAAAGGCATCCCCAAAGCACAAGGGGGCGCCATGAACCATCAATCAACATTTTAAACACCATGAAAACCACTAATCATCTGGTTGGTGGTTGACCTACCCCTCTGAAAAATATGAAAGCCAGTTGGGATTATAATTCCCAATATATGGAAACATAAAATTCATGTTCCAAACCACCAACCAGTAGTGGTTGAATAGGATTTGATGATGGTTAATGATAAATAATTGTTATATAACAATGGTTAAATAATGGTTCATAATGGTTATATAAGATAGCAATGGTTGTTACTTCAGCCATGCATTCTATCCCCTCGCCCCACCAACATTTTCTCTCGCAATCGGCACCGTGACGAAGGGTTTAATCGAAGCCCAACCAGCACAAACACGACGCGTCACGCACGACGAAGGACGTCGCACCTTGAGGTGTGCCGACCGCTCGTTCCATCTGGGAAACTCAATGGACATGTCTGGGACTTTTTTTGAAACGGCTGAGGTACAAAACGTCACAAAAAGATCACAAACATCGATATCTTTTGATGCCCCGTTGTCCATAATATCCTGGAAAGTACATAACCGATCCTACCCTTGGTGAACGCAAAAATAACTGGCATAAATGGATGTTAAGCCTTAAATAGAGTATCAGTATCATTGTGTATATTATATATATATTGTATTATACATAGATGTGTTCAACATATTTTAAGATCCCCATTTTGAAATGTGATATGTCTGCTCTTCTGAACGTGTTTCCACGCTGAGATCACCTGGGAATGAACGAGTTGTCACGCGCGCGCGCGGTCATTTTTGGACATGGCGAGATCTCATGGTCATCGCAAAAGAAAAAACTGAAGGGTCCACAAGTCACATCCTCCCAGCTGTGCGACTTTGTGCTTGTCTCTTTTAGGGGTGTCCAGCTCTACCCGGGGCCGTTTTCCACAGGGAAATCATCGGAAAGCCTGAAATAAACAACTCCCATGACTGAAAATGTTAAACACAATACCCATATTTTGGCATTGGGCTTACTGCATTACACGTCTGGAGAGTTTACCCTGGCTATTTACAAGACTTCAGGGAAGATGAAGCTATGGATTGATGGTCCACACTGCAATGTGGTGTCCCCCAGCTATGAAGTTGTTTATAAACCTCATCAACTATGGCCATATCGACCATAAATCCTGGCTTGTGATAAAACACCTTAGCTAACTATGGGGCACCACCATTACCAAACCAGTAGCTTCTGAGCATGATCTTACATTAAGGAGCCAAATTATTGCCACTACTACATGAACTAGTTAAATTTCAATGTGTTCATCGTTCAATCCCAATTATCCTCCAGTATCATCCAAATACAACAATTCGTGGTAAAACCCATTGTTGTTCCCATTAAATGCGCAACAATTCCCACTAGGCTCAAACAATATCACCCATTTTTTCCCAATTTTTCCGCGTGTTGCCGGTTATTCCCTTTACCCTCTGGTAATCAAACATGGTTCGCTGGAAAAACTATCATTTAGTTAAGTTCGATGATTTTCCAATTTAAATGGCCATTATGGTTGATTGCTGGAGGGTACTAATTGTTGCTAATTGCAAGCAATAACTCCTGCTATTCTGTAAACAATATCCAGATATCAGCAACATTTTTCCCCGTGATTTCGTCTTCCCTATAGCAACGCCGCAGAAAGTGGTCCCTGATGTTGATGGTGAATCAATGGAAAATGGAGGCGTCCATTTTCATGTCATTAGATAATCATCCCAAATTATTAGATAATCATTAGATACCCAGATGGTACCCTTAAATCATCCAAGTCATTAGACCATTCACGTATTGGTGCACCATTCTGACTTGAGGATCCAGCGCTTTAAGACACCACCCATATGTATATATATATGATATATGAATATTTGTACTACTATATATATAGATGATTGTTGTTTTGGGGATCAACCTCTTTATCCTGTATATGATTTATCATTATTATCACTATCATTATTGTTATCAGAATGGCGTGAACATAAATTATAATTAGACATGATTATATCAATTATATCATTTATATCACTATTAATAACTACTATAACTATTATCATTACATTACTTCCATCATTTCTGATCAGCAACGCTTGTGAACGTGACCCTGGCGTGAACCCGCAAAGGCGCTTGTCAGCTCTCCGCCAGAGATGCGGAAGCGGAAGCGTTTTATTAATCGGCAGCGTCGTCAGCACTTGGCAAAGGAAGCAGCGATCTTGACATATATATATATAGATAGATATATAGTAATATAAGTGACATTAGGAATAGTGATATTGGTGATATTAGTGATATGAGTGATGTTAGGAATAGTGATATTGGTGATATTAGTGATATGAGTGATATTAGGAATAGTGATATTGGTGATATTAGTGAC